TAATTTCTGAATAATAAAACAGAACATAAAAATGCAGTAACAACATCTGAATGACTATATAATATAATATGCCTAGGTCACATTTGCTCCAATTCATCAACCGGCGCCTGGCCGATTGAGTATTTTGTTCGAAATTGAAGGTCAAATCTTTGAGGTCAGATGTGAACTCCTGAGAACTTGTACATTATTTTTAGAAAAAGGTTTGGTCAATTTAAAGCAAGTTGAAATCAGTTTTGAACAGAAAAATGCAATTTGCCGGGCAATGGCCGATGGATCGGAGCAAATGAGATCTAGGCATAAGGTATCAACATACATAATATTGTGGTAATACATCATAAGTGGTACATTATGAAATATCGGCTTGCTGTTGCTGGTGAGCAATCTCAGTTAGGAATACAGATATAAATTAATACATGGTTTATCACAGTTGGTGTATCACAATGCATATACAGTATTGTTATAATATTTCACATGCATGTATATACAGACATTATACGAAGGGAGGGATTGTATATTGGGTTTATCAAGAGTGATTATATGATATATTCCCGAGGGTAATTTCTGTACTCTCACCCCAATTTGACATACATGAGCCACAGGCACATTAAGGCTATTGTAAATAACAAAAGCACAAATTAGATCTTTGGGACTTGAAATACATGCAATTGCAGTGTATCTGCATGTATATTAAAAATGTTCATAGAAATAAAAAGATACAGTCAAGTGATCTATTTACAATGTGATCTCCGTATGTTTGTTTGTTATGTTTAAGATAATTACTGTCATGTTATACATGTATAGGTTCTATAAATAGGCACTATCATTTGTTTTTGTGTATCTGAAAAAGCTAAATTCCTTGAATCAAGTTGAACAAAAAGTATGTCATCAAATTTAACATGCAGTGCTTTTTATTGCAGTAAAAGTTTTACTTTCCCAGAGATCAAGAAATTACCAAATTAAATAAATTAATAAATAAAGAGAAGTTAGAAAACATTGTGCATTTGTTTTACACTGTTATGGAATCTATGTGCAGTGTGTATGCACTATGTCCATTAATCCAGGGCTTCCGATTTCAAAACAGACTTTAGGGAGCATCTCATAAGTTCAATGTAGGATTACTAACTGTATTTGAACAGTTAATTTGTGATCCCCTCATAACTGTGTTTGAGAAATGTTGATATGCGTTATTTTGAAAGTCACACTATATCTAACATAATATGTAAATGTTATAAAGTCAATTTCTTATAATTATTCCAATAATAACAATAATTAGTGATGTTGGAAAGCTAACTTTTAAGGCTAATAGTAATGACCCCCTCCCCCTTAATGTACAATGTGGTTAATTTTCTGACATTGATCTTTTGAAATACTCCCTTACCCTACATCTGTATATTAGTCTTGCGCCAAGTAGATTAGAGGGGGGTCCAGAGTGTTGAACCAAGACTATCTGTACATTGAATTGTACATTGGTTACAATTAAGTATGAGATGAGCAAATATCAGAGATATGGTATATGGACGGTCTCCTGAAACAAAATGTCTTTTAAACTGACACTTGTATATGTATTTGTTGCTTCTATCTATGACCTTGCATCAGTGTAAATATCTTTGCTTTGAACTGGCTCTTGAAGTAATTTTTGGGGAAAGATGGAGTTGAATTCCCTCATCAATAGAAGTTGTAATCAAAATAGTCTAATATCAAGTCCCTTAACCAAGCTATTGTGAGGTGAGGTAGGGCCACAAGGGCTTGAGACAAAACCATGCTGATGGAGAAGTTTCAAACCTATAGACTCATATAAGCTACCCTTTACAATAACCTTGTATACACTCTAGATCATTCTCTGATCTTGCCTATGTACTGAATCAAGACACTAGATTTTCTGCCAAATAAGTAGCTGTCACTCATTGTAAATACAAATTCCCCTATAAGTCCATGAGAGCTACATTTTAATATCTAGTCAGCATCAAAATCATACAATTGTAAAAATGTTTATAGTCAATATGTAGGATGACTGACTAACAAGGATCCAGGGTATGTTATATTGTATACCCATTCACTTATAAAAGAGGCAATTCCCAGGCTGAGAGGCTACTTAACAAAAGACAATACTTGATCAATAAATGCACTTTTATAAACTGTAGCATCAAGCTGCCTGACAACAATACATAAAATCAATTAGTCTATATGTAAAGTTACGGATACAATACTAATAAATAATGTATAAATGCACTTTCATAACTGTGGCATCACATACACTGACATACATGTACATGTCTACTATATAGCCTCATAACAATAAATCTGAATAAATCTCTAATAATGTGCGTAAAGTTACAAACCCTTCCTGTTATTTGTTATCATTTTAAGCCCTGGACTAGAAACTAATATTTTAAGCCCTGGACTTGAAACCAACATTTTAAGCTCTGGACTTGAACCTAACATTTGAAGACCTGGACTAAAATCGAACATTTTAAGCCCTGGACTTAAACCTAATATTTTAAGCCCTGGACTTAAAAATAACATTTTAAGCCCTGGACTTGAAACTTACATTTTAAGCCCTGGACTTGAAACTAACATTCTAAGCCCTGGACTTGAAACAAACATTCTAAGCCCTGGACTTGAAACTAACATTTCAGCCCAGTGCCAAAATAGTTACCAATTTTCAGGTAGTTATTTGCTCCAATCAGGTACAATAATTAATTCTTTCCACAAACATTTATTTACAATGTGGTAGGCCTACAACACATTCCACTTTCTTGAACATAATGTTCATTTAAAAACTGAACATTGCTCAGAATTCAATGAATTTTCTAAGGTGAATATTAAAAGAGAAAATGGTATTCCAATTTTGGTATGGTAATCACTGATCAAATATCAGCTGGTAATAGCTTGAGACTTGCAAAGAATGGTGGATAACAGGTATTCTTCCAAGTTTGGTAGCAGATAACTACTTTGGTAATTTACAGTTTCTAGTCTCAATTGATATAAACCTAACATAATTATATTGATTAAGCCATTCATGTATGTACCCATATTGATTTACAATCGTAACACACACTAGTCTAAAGGCTGGGTTAATTAGCTGGAATGGTTAAGTACCAATACTGTATGGTTAAGAGATTTTAATCTCTTGTTATAGATTTAGGAAAATATACAAATATAAACAGTTATTGAAAAATATGATTAGTTATCATAGAGGGAGGGGGTAGATGGTGACATTTAAAAACGTTAATATCTATTTCTATGGACGGATGTTGAAAAAGAAATACTGTAAAACGGGTAATTTTGACACCGGGAAATTTTAGCGATTTTTCAATTTTAGGGGGTTTTAGCGCGGGAAATTTTAGCGAAATGAAGATTAATCTTTAAAAAATCAAATTAGCGAAATGCATTAGAAATTTTATAATTTATGGCAGAAGAAGAATGACGGACATGACAGAGGAATTATCAAAATGTAACACTTCTAAAGCACATGGTATTGGTCCAGACTACTGTAATCTCATCTGACTAATCACAAAATCACGGTAGCATTTAAAATCGTTGATTTTTCGGTCCAAACTAATCTCAAATTACAAACCGGAAGTCGAGCACTGATCGAAAAGCTTCTTAAATACTAGTATTCATGTAGTTTCGCGGGAATTTGCAAATTTTAGCGCCCGGTTTATTTTAACCCCGGTTTATTTTAGCGAATTGAATTTTTAGCGAAACTATAGCGATCGCTAACAATCGCTAACAATTACCCCTCGCTAACAATACCCGTTTTACAGTATTGGAGTGAACCAAAATAAAATTGATTATATTTTTCTGTCAGATCTCTTCATTTCAATGTAATAGCTCCTCCCTGAGGCTATATATATTTATATGTATGCTCAACCCAATCTATACCATTACCCTTATTCGAGAAACATACCAAGGGTACCAGAAAGTTCATAAGCCATAGTGGTCCAAAGACGGACCTAAATCTTAAATTTGGATTGGTTGCATAAGTTTTATCCTTCTTCATGAATTCATGGCATGTTTGTCCTCTATAAATTATCCACATTTGTAGAACCCAGTAATAGCCTGAACCGAGAAATGTTCCAAATGTGAAATTCAATAAAATAATAATCGATAGAAAATGCCAAGTTGCATACCCAGATAGTGTTTCTACCAAGGCAACAGGTAGCAACAAATGAACTGATCCAGAGTCACTCAAATGTTCGCTGTTTATGTATTGGTATAAGACGCTGCCGCTAAACCCTGTACCAACCATAACATAGAAGCAAAACACAGTAAAGTATCGTTGGTTATAAAATCCAATGCATGATGCGGTGAAGAAACAATGATGATCATGCTTCAGGATGCAGATCCCACATAAAGCACAATGATGACATCTTGGTGGAATATCCATCTGACACGTATGACAGTAACTCCAAGATGGATCTGGTAATTCATTTGTCTGCGTCATCTTTGTATAGGTAGACCTATAGGCTGTTGTAATAACAAGGATGTGATTCACAACAACGTTAATCAAGATAAAGCAAAACACAGCTCTTATCACATATAGCGTATCAGGATCATAAATCGCTGGTCCAAAATAGTATGCCGTGCCAATGAACGATGTTATCAACAACCAAACAAAATAGGTGACTGCGATAACATTCAATGCATGCATGGTGACAGAACTACGTTGCTGCTTATTTGGAGGATTATTTGGCATAGTATGTCTTTGTCTTTTCGGCCATGATGATGGAATGGCAATATTACTTTGACTTTGAATCTGGCTGGTTTTCCAAAAATTTTCTGAATTGTAACTGTCTGGTCCTCCTTTGAATTCTTGATGTTCCATGGCTTGAGTGATTATAATAGATATCCTCTATCAAGACTGGTATATATTTTATGGTTTGCTAATATAATTGTACTTTTTAAATGCCTAAAAACGTCACATTCGTCTATATATTTACAAAAGCATTGACAGCTACAAACTGACAAAAATATTTACTTTCACTTTCACCGGAACTCTGTTTGCGCATGCCCGATAGAAAGAAAATGGCGTGGCCTAGGATAATTTTCTTATAAGGAAAGCTAAATTCTGCAATACCTAGGTAACTGTTTCACATATTCTAACTTGAGTCGTATTTGATGTATAATATAGAAAACGAAGAATTCAAAATTAAGAATAGTTATCATTTAAAGAGCGTGTACAGTGGAAACGAAAATGCGATTCTAATTTTGGCGGTGACGCCATTTTGATCTTCCCCTCAAAATGAAAATTCCAAGATTTGGATCGCGGAATTTTTGAAAATGGTTTACAAGGTAAGATATCTTCGAAAGCCCTGGAATTTAACGTCGTGTGTTTATTGATTAAGCTTTTCTGTTTCTCTTTTAACGGTTGACATGTCTGCAACATATCTGGAACTTTTAGGCGTGGAAGTCTCTTGAAACTAAGCCCATGATTCTCTAAGTCTAAGCTTAGGCTAGTCTAGCCTAGGTTTTAGAATTCTCCAGGTTTGTTTCAGAAAAGTGGGAGGGGTTGTACAGCATAGTTTATATTTTTCCTCATTGTAGTATTGTATTTTGTTTACCACCAATGAAGGTGAGCAATACCTCTTGGGTATGTTCCGTATATATACGGTCGTAATTTACGTAATTAACATGGAAGATAGACCCAGAAACCCCTCCTTGAAGGAGCCCTGTGTTCTTTTATGTGCACTTATACATAGACATATAAGTACACACCACAGCCTTTTTGTACGAGTTGCGGACCACTCAGTCAAACACCCTGAAGTACTTCAAGCAAACAAGCGAATTTAGTCTTGCCTGAACCGGGGATTGAATCCGGGACCTATTACGTAAGAGGTACCTGCGCTACCGCTGAGCTACACGGGTGGACTGGTCTGTGAGCTGGTCAAACAGTTGCATATTACATCTTGCTTATATGCTTGTTCATATTGCTTGAAGGCATCCCTACAACTTCATCCAAACAATTTTTTAGCAGATGCATATCAATATACGGGCAATATACACATGGTCATGGACTCTCAAGAGTCTCTTGAAAGGCCACGACACAACATACATAGTACTGTATAGTGTATATATCCTTCAATTGTGTGAAAGATTCGCGAGAGATAGGATGCTATAGTAACAGTCCAATTTTGGTCTAGTAGTTAACACCAGAGACATCACATCATATCCTTAATTGAAGGTTGTTTTGGATCGATCAAAGATCTGCCTTCTTTTCGGGACCTTCTTCAGTTTGAATAAGAGCTTTTTACCTTGAAATATTCTATGCTACTTTAGACCAATCAGGCTTGGATCAGAGACATATGCAGAGACATATAAAGACTATATTTATTTAGACATTTGGTATGCCTTTTGGCGTTATTTCTCTTTGAAATAATGATGTAATCAAAAATGGAAATTATAACTGTTAATTGATTATGTTTGTGTTGTAGACATTGCGCAGTGAGAGTGAATCAAGATGTCGGAGATAGAACAAACCCAGGTGGAGGAGATGACAATAGATTCATCAGAATCAATAACCATTGAACAAGCTCAAGAAGAAGTAATGGAAGAATCACGAGTTACAACCATTGACGGATCTCAAGATATGTCTATGGATGGAGCACAAGTTACAACCATAGATGGATCTCGAGTTATAACTATGGATGGAGCCCAAATTACAGCAATGAATGGACCCAAAGTTACAACCATTGATGGATCTCAAGTGACAACCATGAATAGCGCCCAAGTAACAGCTGTGGATGGAGCTCAAGTAACAGCCATCAATGATTCAGAACTAGGTGTGCATACTGCACAGGTTGTTGATACAGACGGTTACATTACTACAATACTTGTTGAGGAAGGTGCTACCATAATAACCACAGAAGATGGTGACCAGGAAGAAGGGGAATGTGATGTTTGCGGTGGTAACCATGCCACAGAAGAATGCCCCGAGATTAGTCTTGTTGATGCAGAGACTCAGAAAAAATTAATGTCAAAGTAAGATGTATTTTAAAATTATCTTGAAATATTAAAGTAGAATTCTGGAATCAACCATTTAATAATTTTGAATTGATTTTTGTATGATTTTAGCTTCTCCAATGAGTTGCCATTTTTGAATTGAGACATTGGCTATCTATAATGAAGTAAATCGAAGCTCAACTTACATGACTACCTTTTTTAGCATCAAGGTATAACACCAATTTACTATACGTTTTTATTTAGATTACCATACCTGAACTATTTACAGGGCAAAAATGACACTACCACATAACTTGGTGTGGAATCTGCATGAAGATGGGAATATTGGTGTACATGCCTCAGAACTGATCCAGACCAAAACAAGATTTGGTCCATATGAATCAAGGAGAACCACAATGGATATTATAGCTGAAAATGGCATGGTGTTCAAGGTATTTACTGCTTCCAAACCATGCCTAATATCTGCTCCATGTGAACACTAGTTTTATAAAATGAACTGCGGTAAAATCTGTATATTTAAATTGGAGCACCTGACTAATTCAAATAGCTCATAATTCTTTAGTCCATTTTTGTTCTATTGAGTCCCAAATTTAGAACCTTGAAATGTGAACCGCGAAATTGGAACAGAGAACAGACTTACTGTAATTGGAAAATTAACCTGTCTTACTTTAAAAGGGATATTCCTCACAATATCTGCCTATACCGACAGAACTCAGATGTATTTCAAATCATAGTGACATAACCTTTAAGAAGTCACATATTTAGCACCCTATTGTAGAATTCTCTTATTAAATTTGAAATGAAAGCAAATGTATTTATTAACAGATCTTCAATAAGGATGGTACAAGTATCTCGTTAGATACAACAGATGAAAATAGCTGTAACTGGATGTGTCTGGTCCAGGCTGCAACAACTTCATCCGATCAGAATGCCATAGCTTTCCAGATAGGATCAGATATCTACTTCTCAAACACCAAGAAGCTCTTACCAGGTATGAAAGTAAACCCTTTGCAGGAGTTTGACTATGTATTTTGTTTTGTAGTTGAAATTGTTTCCATGTAACCTGAGTGGTGTGACATTACCGATGTCATTCTTGTTACCATAAAACAATGGTCCTTGCAATGGTTGTATTATGATTTTCTGTCCAAAAATCCTTTTCTCAAATACAAGCCCTCTTTGTGTATTTTCAGCCAAAATGTTTAATGGACTGATTTGGAATTTTATAACTCATGTTGTTTTCCTTTGATTTGTTGATACATTGATACGTCACCACTTCAAGTGTTGACATATTGTTATAGTCTCAACCTTTTTTGTGGACAGTGTTCTGCATTTGGTGAGTGGCAGTCAGTGTCTGTAACAAATGGCATGTGGTGACATTTTGCATGTTAATGCCTCATTAGAAATTCTAGTAAAAATTCATTTGTGTTTCAGGCCATGAGCTGAAGGTTTGGTATGCACCTCACTATGCTAAGAAGCTGGGAAAACCTGCTATGCCTGACGGAATAACATCAGGTAAAATATATACATTGTTCCTTTATATAAATAGATGAAAAACTTGAATGTAACAAAAATACTAATGAGCTAAATACTCTTTGCCCATTAAAAACCCCTGTAAAACCTGTCTCAGTGAACACCTCTTTCTAATGAACACCTGTATCTACTATCTAGTGGACACCCTTCCTCCAGACGTACTCGACTGACTTCTGTATAAATTACCCTCTCTGTATTGAACACCTACCAACACTGAACTTTTTTCCTGGCAACAAAATACAAACAGGTTTTACTGTAATGGCTTCAAAACACTAAATTGACCATTTGAAAGAAAATAGTAATAACTAAGGCTATAGTAAATTAATTTCTAAAATGCATTGTTCTGTTACTCTGATGTCATTAAATCCATGATTACAACAATTGATTGAGAAATTATTAACTTGATGTAGTTTCTATTAATGATCTGTAGGTCCTGATTATTGCACATTTACAAAATGCTTTTTCTGTTGTCCAAAAATCAATGAACCACTACAATGTCACACTTAATGATGTACAATGAAACTTGTTAAGTGGAACACCTGTGTTAATGGAACACTTTTCAGAGTCCCCAGACCAACTGACCTCCCAAATGGAACACTTTTTAGAGGTATCAAAAGGTATTCCACTCAGATAGTTTTAACTGTATCTCTTACTAATCTCTATTTATGTGGTAACTGTATATTCCAGTGCTTCTTGGTCAGCAGATAGTCTTACCTGATCTAGCTGAAGAAGACCATCCTCTACAAATCTCCATCTTGTCTGATGAACTGGATCCTGAAGGAGAGGCTAACAGGAAAGTCAAAGAGGAAGCTATGTTGGCAAAAGAGGGAGGTGGGTCTTTTAATGAAATAAACTCCTGTTAAGATTCACACATTCCTAAGATCAATCATCATTGTAGTCAGTAGGCTACTGATAAATGTGAAAATATGTTTATTGTAGCCAGGGCTTTGTATGATGGAATAGTATTCAATAAAATGAATTTATATATTGTCTTCAAATAATCTCACATATAGTATCTGCATGGAATATAAAACCTAATAAAAACTATGTGGCATCATATGAAAATACATGCTTTTTAATGAATCTGCAGTTTTAGCTGTTTGTTCTATACATGCAATTTATTAACATGACATCATTCTGCTTTCAGATATTGCAACAATAACTGCCTTTACCGACTATTCCAAAGAGATGAAAAAGCAGAATATAGCATGTTCAAGGTTTGTGGAAATACAAGATACAAGTAGAAATAATCTTCATTTACACCATTAAATATTCATAATTTAGGCAAAGTGATATCATATTTGCAATCTACATGATCTTGTACATGTAAATTACATAGAAATGTGGTTTCAAAAATTCTTAATCAACTTTCAAAAATTGATTCACTAGAACTGATGAGTATTCAAGTTTAAAGGCCGGTTTTAAAGTTGCTAGCAACTCTCAATAAAATATCAGATAACATCCACACTTTAACATGGCACAGCTAGTCAGGATTAGTATGTTTAATTAACAGCATTGCTAAATACTTGATTTTGCTAATCTTGAGGACTTTTAAATTTGAAAAATGTAATCAGTGTTTTTAAATGTCCTATCACAATCCAACAAAATGATGAAGTTGAAATCTAACTGCAGAATATGAACTTAAAAACATTGAAAGATACACATAACAAAATTGGAACCAATACATTTTCTTAATGAATATGAAATATGAGAAAATTGACCAGCTTTGTGAAAATATCAAAAATACAGTTATTTTGGCTGTTCCATTTGTCTGCCTCCTATTTATACCCCATGTCCCTCTTTAAGGGAATTTTCTAATATATACTATGTATTATATCTGCCATGTTATCTGACCCAAATTAGTCACCTTATGGTGAAACTGGTAACCACCTACTTGCAGCCAGATGTTTGAAGGATCAATTTCAAATGTTCATAGATAATTTTTATATGTAAATATCAAACTTGTTAATTTAATTTTTATGTGTAAATATCAAACTTGTAAATTTTTGGGCATTTAGGGTAAATGGTGAGGTGGCCACTTTGGATTTTCAGTCTTAAAATCTTGTCTGTAATGTCTTGTCTACATGTTTTCAGGCTAATCATTTCACGGATCAATTAAAAATTTTCAGGGATGATTCTTAGTATGTAAATCTCAAAATAATTAGGTTTTTGGCATTTTGGGTAAATGATAAGGTGGCCATTTTCCATCCTAAAATCTTGTCTGTTAAGTCTTATCTATGCGTTTTCAGGCTAATCATTTCAAGGATCAATTTCAAATTTTCAGGGATGATTCCGAGTATGCAAAGCTCGAACTGATCGGCTTTTGGGCATTCTCGGTTTATGTTAAGGCGGCCATTATGGATTTTCTGTCTTTAAATCTTGTCTGTTGAGTCTTCAGATGAACCATATCACATATCAATTAAAAAAATACAGGGATATTGCTGGATTTTCTGTCGTCTCTTCAACTAATATCTGTTGAAAATACAGTATGAAAAAGCTTCATAGGATCACCCATTGGCAGGGACATGTTGTACACATTTGTGTTCTTGTACTTATATCTGCATTTGCATTTCACAGGTGTGATGAATCATTTGACACTGCAATCCTATTGGCTCGTCATCTGAGAGAAAAGCATTTGAAGCCAAAAGCTAAGGGAAACAAAGTCCTTCAATGTAAGGTATGTAAGAGGAGATTTGTGGACAAATTCACCCTGAGTCGACACATGAAGATCCATGGGGAGGGAGTACACTGGCCGTGCAACATCTGTGGTCTGAAACTCAGTAGGCGAGACGTGCTGATTGTACATATAAAGAGGAAACATGATGGACTCTACACTGAGGTATGAGTCATTTTTTCAAAATTTTTTCAAGTATGAAAAGTATGAATCATAACTTCAACATGAATTATAAGTGGTTCGAATTTTCAAAATTTTCTACCAAATATAGATTTAGTGTATTTTATGTTCACTTTCAAATACAACAAAATACTTTTCCCTGTCATTGAAATCAAATGAACAATAGTTAAACTTTGATTCTCCAGGAAGACTTAGTTAACATTCAGAAAGAGCCTGAAATAGGCCCACCAGATGGTGCTGCGATTGTTGAGCTCACTGACTCTACTGTCAGAACAAATGAAATCACTAATGATGGTGACACATCAGATGAGGATATAGAAGAAGAGCAGAATAATGAGCCTGAATGGCAACCTGATCCAAATTTAATCGCCAAAGAAGAAACACCTGGTGAAACACCAAGCAGATCATCACGTCGCATCAAAGAGCGTAAAGATCGTGCACCTGGTATCAACACAGCCTACCCAAGTGAGGACTTTGTTAGAGGACCCGAAGAATACAGAGCAGTAGTAGAGAATATGAAGAAAGAAGCAGATCCAGAAAAACCCAAGCGCAGTAGAGGTCGTCCTAAAAAGGTTCCTGTACTAGTTGATAAAGGGAACCTTGCAATACAGGCGTTGACTGATGTACTTGAGGGAAATTCCCCAAAACCTCCTGCAAAGAAGGTTAAGGTAGATGAAGATCAGACCGAGATGAGTAAAGTGGATGTTCCAGCTCCTGAAGCTGTGAAAATCAGCTGTGAAATCAGTGAAAGTGAAGGTAATTGGTCTTTTTAAAATAGAAATATTAATTGTAGTAACAACAACAAAACAAGCATGTATCAAGAAGTGTATTCTCAGGATGAGTTCTGATATCATATATCCATGTAATCAAGAGTATTTTTCCCTTAGTGTATTCTTATATTTTTGCAATAATCATTGATATATTTTCTTTTTGTAATTAACCCATCATTAGTACTACATAAATTTATAAATTTATAACATGACCAATGTTTGTTTTTCTTGGTAGGTATGACTGCAGAAAGCCTCCAGAAGATGAGTGACAATGCCATTAAGATCCTGAACCAGATGACGTATGATTTAGATGATGATACTGCAGACCAGCAGAAGGCCAAAGACATTGAAACTCCAAAAGAAACCACTGACAGCAGTGCCAATAAGGAAGTGATGGAAGGTGATACCATAGTTGAAAAAGAAAAGGAAACCACTGACATCTCTGCCAATAAGGAAGTTCTTGACGATGATAGCATAGTTGAAAAAGAAAAGGTTGTTGATAAGTCCTTACCTGTAAAGAGGGGAAGAGGAAGACCACCCAAAAAGAATGGCAAGAAGCAAAATAAAGCACACAAGGAATTGCTAGATATCCATCTTATTGCTGATATAAGTGTAGAGAATGAGACATTATCTTATACTTGTAAACAGTGTGGAGCCAGTGAAAATAGCACTGATATTCTTGCAATGCAAGAACACTACAACAGTGTGCATTGTAAGAGAGGAAAACCAAAGTTCCATTGTGTAGACTGTGGCAAAGACTTCAACAGGCAGTGGAGTTATGATCGACATGAGTGCCTTGCAGTAGAAAAGGGGGAAGATGGACTGTTTGGATGTAAAGAATGCAAGAAAAAGTTTTTCAACGCTGAATACTTAAGGAGACATATGGCTGCACACACTGGTAAATTCAAATGTGATGTATGCAATAAGAAATTTGCAAGAAAAGAATCATTAATAAAACATATTTGTTCGGCAGATAAGAACACAACCACTGGGGTACAAGAATTAGATGAAACTGCACTCACTTGTGACATTTGTGGTCTTGGCTTCTTAAAGGAAGCCAACCTTTATCGCCACATGGGAGTGCATACACAGGACTATTTATGTGGAAAATGTGCACGAGTTTATTCAAGAAAAGAGGGCTTGATAAAGCATCTTCTAAAGTGTAATCCAGATCAACTTACCGAGAAAGAAAAGAATAGCTTCTTCCCATGTAAATTTTGTTCAAAAGTATTTTGCAAGGAGTTAGGACTCAAGAATCACATGAACTTTCATGCCGGTGCCTTTAAGTGTTTCTCATGTGGTAAAAATTTTTCACTTAAAAATGCCCTTGATAATCACCAATGCAGTAGAATTCTGGATGTAACGCTGAGTTTCTCCGATGGTGAAACAGAGGAACATGTCAAATCAACTAAACGTAAACTCTATCGTTGTCCAGAGATGGACTGTGATGAAAAATTCAAACAGCGCCAGTGCCTTATAGAACATCTCGAGGAACACAAAAAAGAGACTCATCCTTGTAGTATCTGTGAGAAATCCTTTGATCGAAAAGCTGACTTAGTCATTCATCATTTACTGTGTTCAGCTGTAAAAACTGTTGAAGAAAATGGTTTTATCAATTGTGAAACATGTAACACACCGTTTTCAGAGCCACTTCTCTATCAGAAGCATTGTGAAGACCACATCCTCCCATTTAAGTGTAATGTCTGTCAGAAGAGGTTTACTAAACCAATTAACTCAAATGATCATCCTTGCATACAAGGAAAACCACTTCCTTGTTCATTGTGTCCTCTGACATTTAAGAATACAGCTATGTTAGAACGCCACCAGGTTATTCACGCACCACCACAATTTGAATGTCCGGACTGCACGAAGAAATTTTATCGCAAAGACTACCTAAATGATCACAATTGTTACCGACCAGATGGCACTGTTGTTCGACGCAAGATGCTGCACACGGGAGTCGTAGAAACTAGTCCTGTGACAAATATTTGCGACATATGTGGGAAATCCTTTATGAGTGTTGGTAACCTCAATAAGCATGTGATCACTCATGGTGAGCGGAAATTTCCATGCAAGATTTGCCATAAGAGGTTTCACCTGTCCATCAACCTTGTGTACCATATGAGAGGTGTGCATACCAACAAGAAAAACTACCAATGCTATGAGTGTGGTAAAGGTATGAAAACCAAGAATGCTTTAATGGCCCACATAAAGAACTTCCATTCTGATACCATATTTTTCTTCCAGTGTCCAAAATGTCCAAAATCATTCCGTCAGAAAGGCAACATGCTTAAACATCAATTGACCCATTCAGATAAACGAAACTTTACTTGTCGGTTTTGCAACAAGACATTCAAGTACCAAGAGCAGATACATCGCCATGAAATGGAACACACACAAGCTGACAAATACAAGTGTTCTCATTGTGAGAAGGCCTTCGCTCTTCCATATCAGCTAAGGCGTCATGTTGTATCTTACCACAGTGGCATGATGTTTGTATGTGAGTTCTGTCACATTGAATGCCGTCACTATCACACAATGAGACGGCATATCCAGCGCAAGCACGCGAACGTCAAGTTCAGCAACCTGGGGGAGTATATCAATAGTCTCAGGCAGGTCAGTGGAAACCCTAGATCTGTGTTACGCTCCAGTGATGAGGCTGGAAGATCTAATATAATGACAGCCCTAACACTCCCTGCTGGATCTGCAAATGTAAGTTTATATTTAAGTCAAAATCATACTACATGTTATATTAACTAAAATTTACATTTACAGATGTTTCATCATACACATACTAAATTCTTCAATTGTATTCATAATATTTCATTGTACACATTACTTCAATTGTTTAAATATCCATAACATCACATTTTTTACACATAACTAAAATGTTTCATTGTACCAACTACTATAATTATCCCAACGAACGAAGTTCGGTAGGGATATAGTGAAGCCCTCCATCCGTCCGTCAGTCCATCCGTCCGTCCGTCCGGAAGATAACTCAAATATTAGTTGACGGATTTTCTTCATATTTGGTGGAAAGATGTATATTGATGAATAGTTTTACCCAAAAAATAATAATTTCAAGATGGCCGCTGCTTTACAAATGACGGGACTTTTTCGCAAAAATCATAAATTTTTCATTCTAAACCAAAGTGATTAATATTAATGTTTGAAATTTTGGTAGTATATTCGCAACATCTCTCTTTTTCACATATATTCCGTGTTTTTCATCCTGACCCCCAGGGGCCGTGTATGGGGTGTCAGGAAAACAGAAATTTTCGCTAATTTTTAGATCTTTCTAAAGTATAACTTTATTATACTCAAATGAAAGGCAATTAAGAGTAGATTGCAAATATTGTATCTTTTTTCTGATTCGAGCCTCGTAAAATTCAAAATGGCTGTCTAATGTACGATTTCGCTATAATTTTTCGATCCCTTCAAAGTATGGCTATATTATACTCAAATTGAAGGAATTTTGGAGTAGATCACAATTATGGTATTATTTTTCAGATTCGTACCTCAGAAAATTCAAAATGGCTGCTTTGCAGGAATTCGCATTCTAAAATCAAAATTTTTCAATTTTAACCGAAGTAATGAGTATAATTGATTGGAATTCGGTAATTGATATTTTGTTCGTTGGGATTTGCTACTCCGCGTAGTTGCTGTTATCTAGTCTTCAAATGTACATATGTCTAAAATTGTAATCGGTTGTAAGCATGAATGGAATATTCAATATTGTACAATGTATGTGTTTGCATATTTCGCAGGGGTTTCATTAGCAGCAGACAACAGGCGATTTTCACTGAATGTTTTCACAAAATTGCTGTTTTAGTCTATTTGTTTTTCGGAACTTTTCCATGTTGAATTTATGGTTTCCATTAATTTTGCCTGTTGTTTTCATTTATTTATCCTGTTGTGAGAAATTCTAGTGAAACCCCTGTTTCAATGTTCAATCAGCTATAGTAATACAATGTGCAGATGTGAATACATTCACCTTGTAGAACCTTATACTGGGCAGAGATGATGCAAACCAGTCAGGCAAACAAGGCCTAATAGATGCAACAGATGCTCTACAAACACTGTCTAACCTAGCTACATGTGAAGGGGGAGCTAATACTACTACATTACTACAAGATATACAGCAACACATAGCTAGCGGAGGCTCTGTCCAGAATGTACCTGTATCTTTAGATGGCGGGAACCAAGGTAAGATTATCTTACAGCTATCTATAACAAATACAGTAAAAACAGTCTTCGGCAAAATCTACCAGTATTGGCCAAAATTGTTCAGATTAGCAGTTGATCACAATTCAAGGTTTTATTAACATTTAAGTCAATTTGAGATAACAAGTTTGGGACTGGGAAAAGGTGTGTATTGAGAAGTGTTCATCCTCCTAAGCAGGTACCAAGAATCCGTACCTCCTTTTTCCCCCTGCTATAACCAATTTGGAAGCGCCCGATTAAACTGAATCATGTGATCTAATTGTGCCAATGACTTATACATGATTTCTGTCGCAGTTTTGCGACAGCCAATCAGATTGCGAGTTCCCAATCGGGGAAATGCTAACTGCTTATCGCAGGGGGTAAAAAGAAAGAATATATTCTGGATTTTGAAGCCCTGTGGTCGGAGGATGGAGGTTTTTGGATATACAGGTTTCACTGTACTTCACTTACTTTTTATCACATTTTTTTAAAGTGCCATATTGTGTTTGTCCTGTGCTGATGTGTGCATGTGTCTGTCTGGGCAGGTGGCACATCAATCAAACCATGTTTAATTTGTAATATCCATATAGTTTATGATAAGGTCCAGATATATTAATAATATATATTGATAGCAAAGTCTTTAAGACATGGTTTTCACAAAAATGAGCCAAAATTGTAGCCATATTTTTAGGCTATATTTAATTGCTCCACCAGCTTTACTGCAAATTAAAATTCTTAATTCTTATCACAAAAAATGGAAACAGAGGAAGTGATAATCTATTTGTCTATATGTATTGTATTTTAAATGAATTTGCAGGCTATATATTGGTATATGGAGACCCCAATGATGAGTCTGGGGGTGCCACAGTTTATCAAAGATTAGGTATAGAGGGACAAAACCCGGGGGAGATCACTGTCATAGGGGATGGACAAACCATGGAAAATGTCCAGATGAGTGGTGTAGTGCCCAGTGAGCAGATTCAGGAAGGAACTGTCATAGATGATAATCAGGTACTACAGTTAGACTTTAGAAAGGGCTGTTTTCTTAAAATCATTTTATTTAGCCTAGATGGAAACTTTCCAAACTGGCATTCATGTACTTTTTGATACTTTGTGTGAACACTGAACAATCGTTTTGTTACTTTATGAGGATTTAATGACCTTATTTACATTAGAATTCAGGCTTTTTGTGATATAATATTTAGTTTCATGAATATAGTCAATGCAGTCAAGGTTACAGATATTTTATGCACAGTAGTTGTAGATCCAGTGTCTTGTAATTACCATACCATATGCATGTCTATTTCATTGTTGAGGTCAAATATCTGTGATAACATCCAAATATATTTATGATATTTTGACTTAATAGTGAAACAGTGTTCATGTATTACTTAATAGCTAAACAGTATTCATGTATTACTTAATAGCTAAACAGTAGTCATGTATTTCTTAATAGCTAAACAGTATTCATGTATTACTTAATATCAAAACAGTATTCATGTATTACTTAATAGCGAAACAGTATTCATGTATTACTTAATAGCGAAACAGTATTCATGTATTTCTTAATAGCTAAACAGTATTCATGTATTACTTAATAGCGAAACAGTATTCATGTATTTCTTAATAGCTAAACAGTATTCATGTATTACTTAATAGCGAAACAGTATTCATGTATTACTTAATAGGGAAACAGTATTCATGTATTACTTAATGCTAAACAGTACTCCTGTATGACTTAAATAGCGACACAGTATTCATGTATTACTTATTAGCTAAACAGTACTCCTGTATGACTTAATTGCTAAACAGTACTCCTGTATGACTTAATAGCGAAACAGTATTCATGTATTACTTAATAGGGAAACAGTATTCATGTATTACTTAATAGCTAAACAGTACTCCTGTGTGACTTAAATAGCGACACAGTATTCATGTATTACTTAATAGCTAAACAGTACTCCTGTATGACTTAATAGCTAAACAGTACTCCTCATGTATTACTTAATAGCTAAACAGTACTCCTCATGTATTATAGATAAGTGAGTCTGATGCTACCCTGACTCTACCTGATGGCCGCACAATAAAGTTTACTAATGGCATTGCATCGACTGGTGAGATCCTACTACCTAATCAAAACATAACTAATACAAATGAAGTGATGATACCAGAGCAGGCCATTTACCAGGTGCAAACCGTGGAAGGGGAGCAGATGGGAGCCATAGAGGTGAATGTTGACCAATTAGCCATTGAAGAGGAGATTGTTAAACAAGATGATGAGCAAGCTGAAAATGTGAAGGAAGATTCAGAGATGGGAGATGAAGCAAGTGAAGAAGTTGAGATGATGGAGAATATTGAAACTTCTGAACCATTAGAGGAAAGGACTGTGGTCAAGAAGGGTCAGGAAGTGCAAGCACTGCAGATTCTTACAGACAGTAGGCTTAATAGCTAGATTTGACTGTGATAGAACAGCATTGTAATAAAGTAGACTTAAAATCAAAAGAAGTAGGTGATATAGAGTGTGAAATAATAGAAGCAGTCTTTTAAAAGAGAATGGCAATGTTACCTTTACAATTCTTAATTTATTTTCTGAAAAATGGAGATATCTGTTCAAATTAAAAGTGATTTAAGGTACAGAAATGCCGAAAATATGATTTGAAAACTGGCGTCCCCTTTTCAAAACTATTGCCAGATTATCTTCAAAATCAAATGGCTTTTCTGAAATATAATCGGAACCATTGGACTTTTTTTTGAAAACAGACAATAGATTCAATGAGAAAAAAATTGCAACAGTTTGACAATATTTTCCGAAACTTACTCTAAGTTGTCTTTCCAATCTACTTCCTTAGATGTCTCACCACACCTCCTTTCTCTTCATAACAAAAAAGGGCGTTGAAAGTCCTGAGATTTGACGTCACATTACATAAATACTTCTACGGAGACTTACTATCAAGAATTTTAGTTACACTGTCCATTTTTGAAAAACAATGATTTGATTTTTCATAATAATTAAAACTACTACTGTAATATGCTATATGTATATTTGCCATTTGTACCAGTCTGTTTATCTCAGGTATATTGTGAAGATTGTCAATAATATGTACATAAGACATGTAAAAAGTATTTCAGTCAGAGGATTGTGTATTACTTGTATTTACAGGGAGGGCAAAAAACATTCATATTTTTATTTTGCTACGTTTTCATAATGCATGGATTCCAAAAATAGTTTCACTCGAGATGCAATAGTCAGTTATACTGTATATTTGAACTCAGACGCCTAATTTCCCCCTTAGTGAGAAACTGCCCCTGGGATAATGGTAAAAATATTTCACACATCTCTAGCAACAAAAATATTTTTGAAATCCATAGATTATTGGAAGTTTGATCCCCAAATGGAAAATATGAACGTTTTTGCCAAACCTGTAGATTGTTACTGAAACATGCATTTTATAGATTTATATATGTACATAATAACATGCATGTCATTTGATTTATCTACATATATATGTATATATGTATAAGACAAACTATCCATTTCCTTGCTGTGTGTTTGGAACATTTAGTTTTACCAGTTCCAATGTTGTAAATTGATTTTCATTTGAAACTGATATATATTATATTTTATATCCTTATTCTGTTGGGTAGGCTATGTTTATATGTCAGTGTGTGTTTCAATAGATCACACATTAAAGGAGCTTTGCAAGTCTGCAGTGGAATTTACCAGTTTCTCGCTTCTTTATCCAATGGACGAATGAATACTTGTACACACCTCCAATGTTAACCAGTCTGAGATCTTTTGTCAACATGGCTTTTTGTTGCATTTTAAATAATTTGATTTTTTGGGAATCACACCTGGGGAGAAACCACAGAAGTTTTTGTTTTCTCGGATTTTCCTGTAAATATTATGTCACCAACTACCCTGCGTGCAGAGTGTGTTTAAACTAGAAGACGAAGCTCTCTTTTAAGAAGTGAAGTCAAACGAATGCAAATTGTAGTCACCAACACATAGTGGTGAGATATTGTTATAGTCTCCAACTTTTTTGTGGACGGTGTTCGGCGTATGGAACAAATGGTAGGTTGTGACATTTTGCATGTTAATGCCTTGTTATTACTATTGTACAGCAAATTTTATTGTTTGATCAACTTTCTCTGTTTTTATAACTAATGTACAGAAATGAGTGAATAGTAAAGAAATATAAAGATTTAACGTCCATTGAAAAAAATTGTTATTTAAATTGTTATATCCATGTATTGATGGGTTTAATATGAATGGTTTATATTCATTTGTCATGTTGTCTTGCCACCCTGATGTGGTGGCATTGTTATGACCTGCACTTCTCGTGTCAGGTTTGTCATTTTTGTAATAAAGTGATAGCTTGAAAAGTGACAACATATATGAATCTCTTGGTTTTAGTGTTTATATTTTATGTAAGAATATGTTCCCATGGGAATGAATTTTCCAGCGAACTTTAATACTTGTAGCTAGGTACGCAGGGGGTAACCTGGATTTTAAATTGGGAGGGGCGCTTGATTTACATTAATATAATTTGTTAAGTTAAGAACCAGTATTATGTTGTGCTAAATAAGCAAATAAATAAGGTAGTGTTCTGATAAAAAATCATATTCTCAACTCCATGAATCTAAGTGTCCCTTTGTTTTTCGGTGTTCTCAATGATGTGACCTACGTTGTGCTATGGTAGTTTTTCAATGAATTAAAACAATCTAATTCACTTTAAAAACTATGAATTATCTTTGTCTACCCACGTACCCACTCCTTCCAACTAAGAACCTTAGCTTATTGTGCTTGTGCAAAGTTAGCCCATAGTTACTGCCCAAAAGAGATAATATATAAGCTCTCATATACGTAGATGGCACACGTGTAAAATATTAGAAATACAAAACTTTTTTTCCGTGTTCCATGAAACTTCGACGTGGCAATTTGAGAAATGGGTTTGACACGTTCTCTCATCTAAAGCTCTCGATTGTTTGTAGTTGTAAAAGACATATTAGAAATCTTGATGTATTTCCCATATGAAGTTGCTCTCCCATGGTGGAGAAAAACATTAATTTTTAAAAAAAATAAAAAGATCCAAGACATCTTGATCTAAGAAATGGTACATTTAAGAGATACTTTGGTGCCGTTTTCAATAGCTTTTATTCATTTTGCGTTATTTGACTTCAAAAAGAAGTGAAGGTTATCCGCAAATGATATACCCATTGTATGGAGTAGGTAATTTTCTTCGGTATAACAAATATATGAGTTAAAAAATAATTTGTGAAGTTTTTTCTTGGTATTTTATGAAAAATAGCATGGTCCCCACGGGAGACAAATCTTTCCCAGCCCGTGATATTTACCACTGCGTGTCTTGTTTACCGCCAGGCCTTTGAAAAATATTATAGGAATATCCTATGGTCTTGAAAAAATATCAATTATATTCATGAGTGGATATTGGTTTCTTCATGAGTGAGTGCAGCGAATGAGTGAAGATATTTGAATCCATGAGTTGATATAATTGATATTTTTGAAAAACCATAGGATTGTCTGTTTATCCCATGGGAAATCATCATCAGCGGAAAAAGTTGAAAAATATAATTTGAGAAAAAATGTGAAAAAATAAATTGAAAAAAAATGTTGAGAAAGTTTTGAAATTTAAAAAAATTATTTTTGAAATTAATTAAAACATGTAAAAGGAATTAAAATCGAAACCATCGAATATCACTTTTCAAACCATCGATTATCACTTTTTAAGACGTGATATTCGATAGTTTAAAAGTGATATTCGATGGTTTGTGAATTTTTTACTAAAATATGATATCTTGATCCACATATCAAATATATCTTCGTGTGATATTCGATCTATATCCTTGCAACCATGGGATAATGACTTTTATCTTCCGATGTCTTGCAAAGACGAACACCATTAATATAAACAATAATCCAGAATAAACAAGTACTGACAATTACCTTTATTCACCATACATGCCATAGCTTCCTTATTACATTGTCCATCATAACATACAATACTTGGTATAGATAACTAGACTATGCCCCGGTTTCCATTTTAGGCTTCCTCAAATGTTTTGTCATTTGATGAAAACTAGATCCCTCTCTTCGGCTGTTATATTATATCTTATTTATTTACAAAAATAGGAGAGCACCAGAGTACATTTAATTTTCATCATGTGACACTGCGTCAAAAGCACTTAAATCTCCATGGGATTTATAAACTATTTAGTGATTATTAAGAAAAATAATTCAACAATCACCGTAAATAGTTGACCTTCGTTTAGATAGATATCACTAAATACCAACTAGGTATTTAAGTCATATACCGTTTTTCAAATAACCCATGAATAGTGTTGGTTATTTATGATGTATTTATTTACTGCTTGGAATGTATTTGTAGTTTATTAACGTGTATTTATCATGTCATGTAAATACACAGGGGTATCCATTTGGATATTAATGCCATCTGACCCGAGTTACGTCATACATCTTATTTGATACCAATGAGTATTTATGGTATTTATAACGTAATGTTGATACTCTGATTGGATTTATTGAGTATCAATGGTCATTTAGCCCCAGTTTCGTCACGCTATTGGATTAATGATATAAATACCTGAACGCATTTGCGCTAGATTATGAGGTATTTTCAAATTATTAGTCTGATCATCACTTTTTATGATAAATACATCAAGTGCTTATTTAAGGGTACTAATAGCATAAAAACAGGATTTCTTAATGGATGGGGGGGGGGGGGCGCTGAGGTATATACTCTGTCCTGGTTATAATATTGAAGCATATTAATGCGATATGACCCTGTTTCACTTTCATAAATGTGGCAAAAATGTACAATTTATTTTTAATAGCTTTATTAATAATCTATATCATGATTTTACATTAATTAAGCTTTGATTGACATATAGGCCGGACATATAATCAGGCATTTACAGTCCATATTATGTTGTATATGAATGATGTAAAATTATACTATGAATCTACAGATTCACTGAATCCAAACCTCTTCATTATGTCGTTTACTACAGGGTGACTAAAAGTAGGAGCAACCCGTAACACAGTTAATACATAAATAAAACAATAAATACTATTGCTTAACGTTTATATTTTACCCATAATGAAGCTAAGGTAATCAAATTCCCTGAGTTTCATGTCTCTCATTCAAACGGTTCTTCTTTATTGTCTTTCAAAGACTGTGATCGGTTTCGCCTACTTGACCACACCAAAGTATTTCGTTTAACAGTTCTTTGGTCTATCAGAGGGTCCTATACAGTACGCTTTCTCTCATGGCTGCATGGACGTAATCTCCAAGTTTACGGTCCTGAATCCTTTTATCTTAGATCTTGATTAAAGCCTTCTGTTCTCCATAGTGGAGTTCTCAAGTTGACCGGCTTTGTCTCACTTTCGAACTCCTCGTCAGACACTATTTCGGTTGTTCCTCCAATACTCCACATATGGAATTGTCTCATTTACTGACCATCTTCCCTTCCCCCTGTAATGAAATGGGAGGTTAACAGTTATATAAAATGCTTGAACTAAGGGGAAAAGCTTGCATAGCAATAACGTTACAATAAAATGTAGTCACAGGATTGTAAATATTTATTGACACAGGTGTGCACCTACTTGTTGCCATAGAATTGTACCTTCTTATTGCCACAGATTGTACCAACTTAATGCCAAGATTACCACAAGATTGTACCTTACCTTTAGGCTTGCATAGCAATAACTTTACAATAAAATGTAGTCACAGGATTGTACATTCTTATTGACACAAGAGTGTACCTACTTATTAATTGCCATAGAATTGTACCTTCTTATTGCCACAAGATTGTACCTACTTATTGCCACAGGTTTGTACCTACTTATTGCCAAAGGGTTGTACCTACTTACGGCCACATAATATTTACCTACTTCCTGCCACAGGATTGTACCTACTTACTGCCTCATGGCTGTACCTACTTACAGTCATAAGTGTACCTTCTAATTGCCGCAAGAGTGTACCTAAGTATAGCTACAGGATTGTACCTACTTATTGCCATAGGATTGTACCTATGTATAGTCATGGATTGTACCTACGATTAGCCACAAGATTGTACTTACGTATAGCCACAGGATTGTACCTACGTATAGCCAGAGGATTGTACCTACGTATAGCCACAGGATTGTACCTACTTATTCCCACAGGATTGTACCTACGTATAGCCACAGGATTGTACCTACGAATAGCCACAGGATTGAACCTACGTAGAGCCACAGGATTGTATCTACGTATAGCAACAGGATTGTACCTACTTATTGCCACAGGATTGTACCTACGTACAGCCACAGGATTGTACCTACGTATAGCCACAGGATTGTACCTACGTGTAGCCACAGGATTGTACCTACTTATTGCCACAGGATTGTACCTTCTTATTGCCACAGGATTGTACCTACGTATAGTCACAGGATTGTACCTACGTATAGCCACAGGATTGTACCTACGTATAGCCACAGCATTGTACCTACGTATAGCCACAGGATTGTACCTACGTATAGCCAGAGGATTGTACCTACGTCTGGCCACAGGATTGTTCCTACGTATAGCCACAGGATTGTACCTACGTATAGCCACATGATTGTACCTACTTATTGCCACAGGATTGTACCTACTTATTGCCATAGGATTGTTCCTACGTATAGCCACAGGATTGTACCTACGTATAGCCACAGGATTGCACCTACGTCTGGCCACAGGATTGTACTTACGTATAACCACAGGATTGTACCTACGTATAGCCACAGGATTGTACCTACGTATAGCCACAGCATTGTTCCTACGTATAGCCACAGGATTGAACCTACATATAACCCCAGGATTGTACCTACGTATAGCCACAGGATTGTTTCTACGTATAGCCACAGGATTGTACCTACGTCTTCCCACAGGATTGTACCTACGTATAGCCACAGGATTGTACCTACGTATAGCCAGAGCATTATACCTACGTATAGCCACAGGATTGTACCTACGTATAGCCAGAGGATTGTACCTACGTATAACCACAGGATTGTACCTACTTATTCCCACAGGATTGTACCTACGTATAGCCACAGGATTGTACCTACGAATAGCCACAGGATTGAACCTACGTAGAGCCACAGGATTGTATCTACGTATAGCAACAGGATTGTACCTACTTATTGCCACAGGATTGTACCTACGTACAGCCACAGGATTGTACCTACGTATAGCCACAGGATTGTACCTACGTGTAGCCACAGGATTGTACCTACTTATTGCCACAGGATTGTACCTACTTATTGCCACAGGATTGTACCTACGTATAGTCACAGGATTGTACCTACGTATAGCCACAGGATTGTACCTACGTATAGCCACAGCATTGTACCTACGTATAGCCACAGGATTGTACCTACGTATAGCCACAGGATTGTACCTACTTATTGCCACAGGATTGTTCCTACGTATAGCCACAGGATTGTACCTACGTATAGCCACATGATTGTACCTACTTATTGCCACAGGATTGTACCTACTTATTGCCATAGGATTGTTCCTACGTATAGCCACAGGATTGTACCTAAGAATAGCCACAAGATTGTACCTACGTATAGCAACAGGATTGTACCTACGTATAGCCAGAGGATTGTACCTACGTATAGCTACATGACTGTACCTACCTATAGCCACAGGATTGTACCTACGTATAGCCACAGGATTGTACCTATGTATAGCCACAGGATTGTACCTACGTATAGCCACAGGATTGTACCTACGTCTGGCCACAGGATTGTACCTACGTATAGCCACAGGATTGTACCTACGTATAGTCACAGCATTGTACCTACGTATAGCCACAGGATTGTACCTACGTATAGCCACAGGATTGTACCTACGTATAGCCACAGGATTGCACCTACGTCTGGCCACAGGATTGTACTTACGTATAACCACAGGATTGTACCTACGTATAGCCACAGGATTGTACCTACGTATAGCCACAGCATTGTACCTACGTAAAGCCACAGGATTGTACCTACATATAACCCCAGGATTGTACCTACGTATAGCCACAGGATTATTCCTACGTATAGCCACAGGATTGTACCTACGTCTTCCCACAGGATTGTACCTACGTATAGCCACAGGATTGTACCTACGTATAGCCAGAGCATTGTACCTACGTATAGCCACAGGATTGTACCTACTTATTGCCACAGGATTGAACCTACTTACTGCCACAGGATTGTACCTACGTATAGCCACAGGATTGTACCTACTTATTGCCATAGGATTGTACCTACGTATAGCCACAGGAATGTACCTACGAATAGCCACAAGATTGTACCTACGTATAGCCACAGGATAGTACCTACGTATAGCCACAGGATTGTACCTACGTATAGCCAGAGGATTGTACCTACGTCTGGCCACAGGATTGTACTTACGTATAGCCACAGGATTGTACCTACGTATAGTCACAGCATTGTACCTACGTAAAGCCACAGGATTGTACCTACATATAACCCCAGGATTGTACCTACGTATAGCCACAGGATTGTTCCTACGTATAGCAACAGGATTGTACCTACGTATAACCACAGGATTATACCTACGTATAACCACAGGATTGTACCTACGTCTGGCCACAGGATTGTACCTACTTATTGCCATAGGATTGTACCTACGTATAGCCACAGGATTGTACCTTCTTACTGCCACAGGATTGAACCTACGTATAGCCACAGGATTGTACCTACGTCTGGCCACAGGATTGTACCTACGTATAGCCACAAGACTGTACCTACGTATAGTCACAGCATTGTACCTACGTATAGCCACAGGATTGTACCTACGTATAGCCACAGGATTGTACCTACGTATAGCCACAGGATTGTACCTACGTATAGCCACAGGATTGTACCTACGTCTGGCCACAGGATTGTACCTACGTATAGCCACAGGACTGTACCTACGTATAGTCACAGCATTGTACCTACGTATAGCCACAGGATTGTACCTACGTATAGCCACAGGATTGTACCTACGTCTGGCCACAGGATTGTACCTACGTATAGCCACAGGATTGTACCAACGTATAGCCACAGGATTGTACCTACTTAAAGCCACAGGATTGTACCTACGTATAGCCACAGGATTGTACCTACGTATAGCCACAGGATTGTACCTACGTCTGGCCACAGGATTGTACCTACGTATAGCCACAGGATTGTACCTACGTATAGCCACAGCATTGTACCTACGTATGGCCACAGGATTGTACCTACGTATAGCCACAGGATTGTACCTACTTATTGCCACAGGATTGTACCTACTTACTCCCACAGGTTTGTACCTACTTACTGCCACAACATTGTATCTACTTACTGCCAGGGGATTGTTCCTACTTACTGCCACAGATTTGTTCCTTCTTATTGCTTCTTCTCCTTCTTATTACCTTCTTAGATTTTATCTACGTACTGTCTACTTACTGGTTTGTACCTTCTTATTGTCATAGGTTTGTACCTTCTTATTGCCACAAGATTATACCTACTTGCTGCCGTAGGTTTGTACCTTCTCATTGCCACAAGATTGTACCTACTTATTGCCACAGGATTGTACCTACGTATTGCCACAGGTTTGTACCTACTTACAACCACGGGATCGTACCGGCAAACTAAATACATGAATAAAACTAAACTAAATACAAATGAAGCATCAAACTGCAATCGACTTTTTGTAGACGGTTTATTTATATTGTCCAGATTTATAAAATGGTAATACTTACTGTTTACGGAGAAGATGAAGATAAATTCCATGTATACATAATTTCTCAAATATTTCATAGCATCGGATTTCGAAGCACGAATGGTGTGGTTATAAAGTGGTAATGTAAAATGTTTGATATTATGTGTATGACCGTTTTCGGAACTGAAAAACAAGACAAAACGTCTCCCCATCTTAACTGAAACTATTTCAAATCTTCATATGACTGTATCATACATTAGCATTAGTGACCTACTTAGACATCCGACTGACACTTGTAATCTGATACTGCTACCTACTGATACGCTTGTACTTTATTAATGGTTATTTACCGAAATATATCATAAATAACCAATGGGGTATTAAAAGGATTTAATTGAATTCCCTAAATCAGATAAATACCACGAGGTATTGTTGCATGGTTGAAATAAGCAGTAAATAACCTAACTCATCGATGATATTTTGATAAATCGGGTAAATACGCACAAATAACCGAATAGATATAAACGTATAAATACAAACGTGTCCATTAATGTTCATTAAAGCGATTTTCGGGTTTAATAACCAACTAACGGTTTGCGGGATTTAGTGGTATTTACTTTATTTCACACAGTGTGATGTTCTTTTTATAAGAAACTGAATCTGCAGATGGCAGTCCACAATTACTTGTTTTAGCTAGGCAGAGGGCATCCTGTGGTCCTCAGTAACTTGTTTGGAGTTCCCGTAGGCAGGTTCTTCAGAATATCACGCGTGGAAGACCTAAAACAGAACATTATTTATTTATATTTCAAGTGATATATTTTTATTTTTTATACAAAGAATAAATTAAAACAAGTGCAATCTTTTTACTGGTTTAATGGGTTGCTTTTGTTTATGAGCGTTGTTTTTGTTAGTTCACAATTCACATAGTAAAGTGAGTTATTGCAATCACTGTACTTTATTTTCCAGTAACTGGTAACTTACTCTTTTACCCAATCCATTACTTCGATGTAAGTTTTATTAGGATTGTCGTGCCAGTATGCTGCCATTGCCCCCGCCTGCAATATCAATATAATTGTAACGAGGCCAAGCAATGCTGCAAGAACGCGATTCTGCACAAATTAAAGAAGCACATGAATATTTGAAAGAAACTCCCACTCATATCTACTTATGAGTTTGCCAAACTTTTTGAGGGAAATGCATAAAAATGGGATGTATTGTTATACTTACGACATATGGAGTTGCCATTGATGTGCCTATATTCAAACAGAAAAACAATATGATTTTACATACAATGCAATCATGGATAGATTACACACAATGCAACCATAGGTATGATATTACACACAATGTAACCATGGCATATTGCACCCAACGCTAGCATAAATATGATATTACGTTTCAATGAACCATAGTTACAATCAAGCCAAGTCGAAAATGACAAGAATGTAATTAGGCCATTGTTGTACGCAACTTATGAATATAATGAAGCTACAATTTCATAGAGAGCTACATTCTCAAAACGTACCTTGAACTGTTTTTTAACAATAATGAAGTATATTACCTGACCATAACTCGTACGTCAATCCACCCCAATATTTAGGTGCAAGGATGTCCTTACTCTATAAAAGAAAGCTTTGTTTCTTAGTGAGAATGATGGTACAAAGACAGGATGAACACCTTCACTTCTGTGTAGCATACCAAGTACTATAGTTAGTAAATAAAGGCTCCGTCATATCGATACCAAGGATAACCTGGATTAGTTTTTTTTGAATGCCAAATCTGAAAGGTTGTATCAATCCGAAGCGAAAACCTATTGCGTCTTCAATTATAATGTCGTATTTTACCTACTAAATATGAAAGATTGTATCAATCCAAATCCAAATTGGGTTATACCTATAGCGCCATCAATCATAATATCGTGTTTTACCTCCTGGCATTTGATTTTACTAACCGGTGCAATGATATCGACGCAGCTTCCATAACTTGATCCATATGATAATGTGTCCACCCACAGGTCGTCATTCATGTCAGAACCCCCGACTGTTATTCTGCAATGGCAAATTATCTTTGTGAGAACCCCAACTTAAACCAAGTACAAGTTTTCTATGACGGTCATGTACGTCAGAACTACTGTATGTCTACAATGACACTGACAAGTCATACCCCTCCCATCCCCCCCATCGTCATATATATAGAGCCCGGAACTGAATTTCCCAAAACATTCAAAAGTTGTTTTCCAGCTGCCAAACTTTTGGAGGATGAGTGTATGTAACTATCAAAAACCCTTGAATTTCCTACCCTACTGGAGATCGTGCTGGTGTGTTGTTGCAAGCGTCATTGTAGCTGTTACCTGCTGCAAGCGCTACAGGGACGCCCTGAAAAGTTAGTACATTATTGTTTGCATGTTTGTTTGCACGAATTTTTCACAATTTTTAATAATCACATTTATTAATTTGCACCGAGTTCTGATTATGATGGCTATAATTTACTTACAGAATAGACATCTTGTATTCCAGCCAAATGTCTGTAAACGTTAATTCCCCTTAGTTACAATATAACAAAACCTACAAATACCCGGATGTAAATGTACTTACTTGTTCTAAATTCTATCATTTTGACCAAATCGTAGAAATCGATCCTTACCTCCTGGACTAGATTAGCCACAGCATCTTCTAAGGGTTCACAGGTGTAAAAAGTTGCACCCAACGATATGCTGAAAATCAAATCATTTTAGTTTGTGTCTAGTTGTTAGTTCATCATACATGATGACAGTGGAAGAAAGCAGTGCATAAAAACGATAACATTTATTACACTTTATTTAAGAAATCTTCACAATGAATTCCTGCTGGGTCATAATATTCGTTCTTGTACCCTCTCTCTCCCTAGGAAACTTTACAGAACTCCACTATTGTCCATGTATAAGATATTTGTTTAAGGATTTAAGCCCTGGAATGACCCTTCCTTGAAGATGTTGCTCTCCAAAATTTGCACGAGATGCGCAGCTTTGAGTTTTAATTTTATGAAACACACCCTAAGCAGACAGAGCCTGTGGGAAATATTGGGTGCGGAGCAAATGAGCGGAGGGTGCGGAGCTAACGGTCATTTTTTAATTTAAATTTGGGATATTTCTGAAACTAAGCCGTTTTGGGACTTCAAATGTACCAAGATATGTGTATTTGACACCAAATATCAATACAATTGTTAAAATAGTAGCGCAATTCATTCTATAGCGACGCAGTGTGCCTTAAACCTTTCCCAGACCTATATATTTTGAAATTATCCTTTTAATACTGAGTCCGCAGCATTCATAAAAAATGGTGTTCAAGGTACACTATCTATACAAATTATTTCTCCATAAACGTACCTCCGCACCCAATATTTAGAGGGCCCGAGGGGGCTCATATCTGAAGAACATTTCCGAATTTTTATAAAATCACACAGATACTGCCTGGCTTCCAAGATGCAAAAATAATTTGCATGGGTAGTGTATCTTGAACACCATTTTTTATGAATGCTGGGGACGCAGTATTAAAAGGATAGTCTCAAAATATATAGGCCTGGGAAATGTTCTCAATGGTTGAATCCGGGGCTTAAATTCTTTCCACACATTGCAAAATATTTTCTACCATGTCACTTAAAAGATATGAAATCACTAAAAGAACATATTTTCAATGAAAAGTTTAACAAGGGTCAAGTTGGCAAAGCATCAATTTTAATCTGTATAGTCAAGTTGTCACCTTGGCAACCACATACGGAATTACCTTGGATACTGAATGCTCTGCAGTTATATGAAATACTATGTTCGATTTGGCTGGAATCGGACACACCTTGCCTAGCTATGTGTGAATTGAAAGTAACTTACTTGACAATACTTTTACGATTTGAGGCCTGGATCTGTTGTTGTACCCAGCTTATCCCTGCCATCAGTGACCTTCAAATATACATATCTATGTTATGCTGCTATATTCAGTTCCTAGGTTCTATAAAACAAACTATATATATAGTTTGTTTTATAGAACCTAGGAACTGAATATAGCAGCATAATCACTGGTACTCACCTAGTAACAAGATGGAAGAACTTCCGGACTTCGTTTTCGGTAAGATATTTTTATTTCTCGATTCTACACCACTTAGTCAAGTTGTGGACAATAATTTGGCTCAAAGTTAAGGAAGATAGTCTAGTTTGAGAATATGCAGGCGGTTTTATGTTTGGTATATTAACGAAGACGCAATTCACATATTTAGTCCCTCGCTTTTTTTGTCACGTTGACGATCTTCATCAGAATATTGCCACATTGGCAATATTCATATACATATATATATATATATATATTCTCAAACTACACTATCTTATAAAAATAGCTTACCGAAAACGAAGCCCGGAAATTCTTCCATCTTGTTACGCTGACGTTTCGTACCAGTGATAACCCTAAATTACCATTCTAAATATGCGTCCATTTTTTCTGTTATCCAATGCAATAGTGTAATTACTACGTATGCACACGGGTTTCAAAGTTGAGATTTTAACTCAAATACGGAAATCGTATTTCAATTATTCGATGACAGAACCAATGTTTAAAAATACCAAGATCCGATAAAAGACTAAAGTATAATTTTTCATCTCGACTTACGCTATTGTAGCATATGAAAAGTCATCAAATACTTTAACTGCGTGCATTCGAACTCCTGGTGCCACGCCATACTCCCCTCCAATTATTCCTGAAAAATATTCAGCAACTAGTGATTTTGGAGGTATTGAGTGATTGAAGTGATTGAGTGAGTGAAGCAACGAGTGATTGTGTAAGCAATGGTGGTTGTGGAAGCAATACGTGTTTGAAAAAGCAATGAGTGGTTGTGAAAGCAATACTAATAAGTGGTTGTGGAAGCAATGATTTATTGTGTCAAATCTATAGTTAATATTTAAATTACAAGCTTTACTATTTTGTAATGTACGATACCTGCCATTGCAGTTCCATGGCCTGGCGGAAAATCAGCCGCTTCATTGAGTTGAGATACAGAATTATATTTCTGAAATAATGAATAAGAACTCTAACATATGCTACAACAAAACTGAAACTGTAACAAGCCAAGAGAGCTTGAGCGCAAGCACATTCAGGCTAGGCGATTGGGCGCCGTAACCACGAGGTTGCGAGTTCGAGACGTGTGTGCTCCTTGTGTTTATTCATTTATATTTATCCAGTGACATTTTTACTAGATATAATATAGTATAAACTATAACTATAGAGTTGGTCCCTAAAATATCGAAGTTCAGACACCTTGATTCTTGTCACGCTTACCGATACAATGTTTCCATATTTTTGAAATGCAGGGTGGTCGTCGTATATCCCCCTAAAATAAGAGATGGATACAAATTAAATGATAATCAAATGATCATATGAAGAAATCATATGGTTCTTTTATTTCAATATTGTGTGCAAACTTTAACTTACGTGTCTATGATGTATACATCAACAGAGTCATAACCTTTCACTGGGTCTGTAACAAATGCACAACATTTACTTCAATGTACCAGACATTGACTCGGATTTTTAGGATAACATAAAAGCCGCTGCAATGAGAAAGCACAAGGGAAATATTCAAAAACCGATTAACCTAATATGTAACCATAAAATAAATTGAGCCATTTCGAATTGAAAGAAATTGGATTCACGAGAATAAACAAACAGAAGGCGAATATAACAAATTTAAAACTCATAGACTACTAATCAAAACAGTAGGCCTATGATATACTAGTACCTATTTATGATTCATAAGGTATATTACCATTCATAATACTGCTTACTCACGCTAGCTTCTGGATTAAAATAATAGTTGAACCAAAATCTCATCTATAAAATATCGAAGGATGTTACATAATTACCGTAATCTGCCATGAAGGAATCATCCAACAGGAGTTCTTGGTCAATCCGATCAAGCCCCTAAAACAAGACAATTTTTTGCTTTTAAATGTTCAAAACACAGTTAAGTCAAATTATAATATTCAAGTGTTAAATCGTGTACACTGTACACCGCGTACAGCGTTAATTATATATTTATATCAAATCAAAATAATCTTTAAGAAGACAGAATAACTGATTGTCCATAATTTATTTGTTATTTTCATTTATTTTTTGTTATTTTCATCTAGTAAAATACAATACAGGAATCTTTCGTAGAGGACACTCAAAAGGGCTTTGTTGTCGATTTTAGTGTGTCCATGTTGACGTAAACATTTCTGTTTTCACTATTAGGATAATGAAGTTATTAATTTTGTTGCCCTAAATTATCAAATTATGGCGAAAACTAGGATATTAAAATAAATTATAAAATAATAAATCAAATACTGTAGTGATGAGCAAAACATTCTGTTTGAATACTCACCCAAGATGAAGGAAACTTAGTTGTATCGGTGAATGCACAGGATTGCGTATCCAATATGATGTTTTCAGTAACACTATCTATTTCAGCATCCGTTCGTAATTCTTCTAAGAAACTAAAAGTAGTATGGAGTTCACACAATGAATTGTTGTAGGTTTAATGAATGAGTTTTATAAGCCTAGCACAAGGGAAACGAGAGTATTTAATCACGCACACAATCCTTTGAGTCCCAGGTCCTTTCCGAAAACCCTGTCACACTGCTATCCTAGAGAAGCTAGTATACAAATAGTGACTGCCATTGAGGGCAATAGTGTAAATTATTTCCCCGAGGGAATATCCTCTACAATGTACTATTCCCGAAGCCGCAGGCTGAGGGAATAGTATATTGTAGAGGATATTCCCAAGGGGAAATCATTTACACTATTGCTCGAAATTAGGCAGTCACTATTTGTTTTATTATATACCCTATACTGACTCTTGTCCCGTTTCCTCTGCGAAGGCCAAAAAGGCTTAGAAAGCCCCCTCCCCAGTAGCATTATAAGCTGTGACGTCATCAGATGCTCAACAGAAATTTTTGCCTCTGAGACTCTCACTTGACAAATTCAATCGTGTTTAACACGCGGAATAGATTATCATAACACTTGAAATTACACAGACGTATTGAGCTTAGGGAACTTTATACACGTTGCTTATATTGTATCGTTCACGCACGTCTGTCATGGTGAACGGAGTTGATTTGTGTTTGTGCTCATCCTCCATTTTTCTGTTTTTCGTCTGCGCAGTGATGATGAGCAGACGTTTCCAAGGGTAATAGAGCTTGCAATTGTGACGTCAGCGGGCAATAGTTCAAATGTATATTCCCGCTGACGTCACATTTGAGGGAATATAACTTTCCGAGGGAAATAGTAAATCTATTTCGGAACACGTGACTAGGTATTGACCAATCAGGATTAGTGTTACATATTGGGTATATAATAAATGTATATATTGACTAGATTGATGATGACATTGATTTTATTAAGAAGATTGTAAAATACTGTGTTCTGATTGGTCAGAATAGAATTGTATATAATAATTTGTGTATTGAGACTACGAATGACACAAAGATCTAAGAAGGTCCAGTCTGAAAGTACTATGTAGTATCTACTGGTACTGGTATATTGAATTAACTGTTTTGACACGCATTTGTTTAACAATAACATGCTTTAAGTTGAAGACAAGAGGCTACCTTTGGTTATCACACTCGATCGAGTATAGCCTCAATGTGTTTGACCGATGTGCCTTCCTTTGATGTGTGTATAGTTCTCTTATATTCTTCGTTTTGCACCCCATTTCCTTTGCACGATTTCTTAAACTGGAGAACTTGTGTCCAGCTAAAATTCAAAGTAAGTCACTAGTAATGAAAAAGATATTGTAAAAAGTAAAAGTAATTGGCATTACTTTACGCATTTAGGTTATTTTGCAATATTGTGGAAGTAACATCAATTTCTCCAAAGGTTCCATTCATGTAACATCATTTTTTCCTAAATTAGGACAATATCAGTTTGATCGATTATCTGGATAACATAGCCAAGTGGGCTACATCAACAACCCTGCATACATCAGTAAAACCTGTCTCATCCAAAAGCCATTAGAACTGACTGACCAAAAGTGTCCTGATTGGTAGGTGTTCACATTTCGATGCTTTTTAACATGAAAATCTAAGGCAGATTAAAAATATGCTACCTAAAATGCGTTCAAATTGACAGGTGTTCAGATTGACAGGTGTTCAGATTGACAGGTGTTCAGATTAAAGAGGTGTTCGGATAGACAAGTTTTACTGTGAATAGATTCTACATCATAACTTGTTAAATGTTAAATGATTCGTATCTCAAACACAAAACATCATCATCGCAATTCTAGAATAAAGAGAGGTCATTGCAATATGAGAGAAAAAGTACATCAAAATTAGTGATACCGATACAAATACATGTTAGATAAATGTTTTATTACTCGCCTTTTTATGAAGTTATGTAACTGAATAAAAACAGTGCTTATATCAAAACGGAATTGCACAAGTACAGAAATGTAAATCTTAAGTGTACCTTGACCGTTTGTCATTTCCTCCTTTAATTTAAGTATATACTGCCCAGTTTTTACTGCTGCAAAGAAATTAATAATATGTGTAACAATAGCAACGACAATTCGACAACTTTAACAAGATTAGAACACTCGACAAAAAACATATGGAAGTTCTCCGAATTATGTCATATCACCCGTTTTCAATATTTCAATGTATCAGAATGTGTCCCTCTGTTTCTGTCACTTCATTAATAGTTTAAATACGCTCCGGGAATAACTGCTAACTAAAATTATTAATTATAATTTTTATTATAATAATTTAATTAATTATTTGAGTTTTCTCTATTCTCCTTACGAAGTAAAGATTACTGAAGAGTCTAAATAAATAAAAAGATGAAATTTTTTTTTGATGTTTCGCATATTTTCCATATGAATAATTCTCGAGTGTCAGGTACTAATTAAGTTAATCAACTGATTAATGAACTAACACGCTGCATTCTGCTGCATTCTCTTGTTTAATGTCCATGAAAATGTTAGTAATTGGCTATGAAAATAATGAAAATGCGCGCCTGAAAATCTGCACAATACAGAATCTTTTTGCAATAACAATTGCAACGTATTAATTAGAATATACCTCACAAAATCAAATATGGTCTGAACATATGGACAATTAACTTTACTGCAACATATTTATGTCATGCCCCATGAAAAATAAATATGTTTCGAACAATTAAGTGCAGTAAACACTTTTCAGGAACACCGGGAACTAACTACAAGTCAGTTTGTTTGACAGAAAAAAAAACATACAATAAAGTGAAGTCATATTTACCACGATTTCCCATCTTGATATCATTTCTTCCATTTACCAGGCCTATTCTTCCAGTGGTATTATTGGTCAAATATGCTAATATTGTCAACACGAGAGCAGCTTTGATATAATTTAGTTCCATGATGTTAATATTGAACTTATTTTTTGTCGTATGACAAGCTGCTTAATTCTCTTTAGCTAGCTATAAATACACAATTAATACATAAAACAATAATTTTCAAAATTGTAACAGTCATTTGTTAAACATGATAAATATACAGCAAAGACTAAACAAAATTATCAGATAAATTACTCAAAATTTATATTACCTATAAACTAAAGAAAGTATGAGTTTAGAACAATGATCTTTCAAATCAATATAATCAAACGTTACTTATTTACCATAAGTCATTACTGAACGTTACTTTCAAGAAAATAAGTGTCCTACCTTTGGTGGTGAGAAAGGGCTCGTCTGTGTTTTCACCCTGCTCTTGTAGCTTTTCTACATTGTTGACTATTTTCTGCATAGATGATCGTGTCATATTTGACACCGCGAAGCGTTAACAAAAGAAAAAGTGGTTGTCCAAGGTCGTAGACCTCAAATCATAGTTGATGTATTCTATTAGAACAGGTCACTGGATAGGACAACGGTTGGAAATTCCGTTCTGTCAGATGTAAGCTTACATAATAGGAGAGTACATATAACTTTTTAATATTGATTTCATGAAATTGTGTATGGATTCGTCCAAGCTAATACTATATCTATGCAGTAGCCAGGATGTGAATAAAAATGAATCTGAAAAAAAGCAACCAAAGCCATGGAAGATCGACTTTAAGAAACAGTGGACAAGTTCAAGCGTGGAACAGAATGACAATGGCGTACTGTTTGGTACAACCTAATAATTGTAGGCTATCTAATTGTAGGCTATCTGCTTTATTCAAATGTTTCTTATCCCCCAGTCGTCCATATCCATAGTTTTATGTTTTATCCAAGGCAAAAACATTTCATTGAGAAAAAAATCACATATAACTATATAGATATTAGAATATATTTATAGCGCATAGGATGAGATCATAATGAATATAAACATTTAAAAAATACTTCGATTGTGAAAGACTTTAGAACAATGGGAGAAGATGCCAAAAGTGCTATTTTGTATTAAAAATAAATGTCAACCAACCTATTGTCAATATAGCAGTAAGAACACGTGTATATATAATTACACTAAACATCTGTTTATTAATTAGATGAGGCAAATGAGGTATAATCAAAATACAAAACTTGCATCGAGTGTTTAGCAGTTTAGGAAGAACAACCGACAGTTCTCAGTAATCTGTTAGGAGTTCCCAATAATTGGCCATTTAGAACCCCTTGTGTGGCCCCGCTACAATTATATAATAGAATCACATAGTCATTCACATAGTCATTTATCATTGCATCATCCGATTTGTGCTTTTACGTGTATATATTATACAGTCTAGTTTATAATGCACCAACTTTAGAAAATGTCACATGTGTTTACAATCGGAGAGCTGTTCTTTCACAAATGTCTCTGAAATTCCAAGCATTACGAAGTCTCAAATGAAGAAAAATAATTTGATTTGAAAAAAAACATTTCATTTGAACCTTTAAGTGAAATTTCGACACTTCTTTTTCGTGGTAAATATCATGGTCATTGTGTCAAAAGTCGTAGGGTTTTCGACAAAGTCAAGCAGACTGAAATATATTTTTAAGGCCCTGGATTAAAGTTCGCAATATTCACTTGGGTAAGTCTTGTCTTTAAATTTCAATTATAAAATCATAATTTGCAAGAATTTACCTTGTTACCCATGCCATTACTTCAGCAGCTGTTTTATTGGGATTAGTGTGCCAATAGGCAGCCATGGCACCAGTCTATAAATATAATTCACTCGTTACAAGTATTTCAGCGGACCTCGGTCAATCGGACTCTGTTTAAGGTTCACATAGAATAACTTCGTTCATGAAAACACCAACATCTCACTGGGTTTTTACTTTGTTCCTTCATATTCAGTAGTGCGTGTAAAGTAGAAGAAATATAGAAACTATTCCAGGCTACATTTCCATGCGTTTTTCTCAGTAAACGTATTTGGAATATTATAATTATATATTTGCTCCATTATCCCCTTGCACTACCGACGACGTAATTACGTAATTAGCCATCTCCAATGTTGTGTTTCGAACTCCCGTGCAGTGTCTCGGTATAGACACTGCGGCGGGCAGATTATGAAATCCCCAAAATTTGGGGAAGATAGTCCCCCTTTTTGTCACAGATGTACTTGATTTTCATACAACTTATAAAATATATATTCTTTTATGTTCACCAATCATTATTTTGTCAAAATATTTCAAAATTATTGAAATATGAGAAAAAATCACCGCGGAAGGAATTCTGAGTAAAAGTTCTGTTGATAATAGTTTACCGCACGTGTTGTTTATTAGTTAATACGCGCAATTCAACCAATAGTCCACGGTATGAAATTTCTAGGACGTCTAATTAAGGAGTTGGTGGCACCATATCTGCATAATGATATTTGAGCTTATATTTAGATACCTACATGTGTCCCGCGTTTTATTTTTGTATAGCCGTGATAAATACGGCGGGCTTTTAGGCCGAATAATGCATGTCATTATCAGGGGTCAAAAAACGTGTAAAACGTTTTTTGTATTTTTTTTCATAATTTAAAGGACAAACATTAAAAGAAAATCACATGAAAATATTTTTAATATATACATCAAGTTTCTTGGCTATAATTTTGCGGTATGTGTTCCTTGAAATACCTTATATATAAAAAAATCAAGGTTTGAACATTTTATGTCGTTTTGGAGATATTGGTGAAGCAATCAATATATTGGCACCTTTATTACCTGTGAATAACATATGGTTATAATATGTCAGTTTTTTACTAAATTAGTTGTAATACATTTTGAGATATGGACAGCCGTATTCAGGGGTCAATTGGCAATAAAGGGAGACTCGTTGTTCTTCCTTGTCTAATACCGTCTGCGATTGAAAATTGTTGCATATGGTTGAACATGAATTGGTTGCTTATATAAGGACCATATCTTCAACATTTGACTACATGGATCTTTGAGAAATGTCAGCAATAATGTAAAAATGAATCGATGTAATGCATCGCAGTGACAAATATAATTGTTGTTATATTATACTGTTTGTTACACATTAATAAAAAAATCAGAATTCTGAAGTAACAAAACATAAACGCACAAGTGGAAATGGAAAAGGCACAGCAACAAATGGAATGTGTTCAAGAGTATACTAATATAAGGGAATATCAAAGCATTAACATGCAAAATGCCAACGCATATTCGTTACATACACCGAACGCCGAATATGTACTGTCAATGGACTTTATGTTGGAAACTATAACAATATGTCATACCATTTTGGTGGTGACATAATAAACACTAGCAATCCCAAAGTCAAACGTCTATCAACCCCTCCCGACCCACGAGCTAAGTATAAACATCATTCCCAGACCATAACACCAAGTAGCACCTCATTATACTCGAGTCATTACAACACAAATTGAATAAAAATACAAATTGTGAGCCAATACTCATAACAATACTAATAGTATATTAGATATACAATATTTAGAATTTGGTCTTAATGCTTTGAGATATTTAGATATTATAATTCGTTTAACGTTTAAAAGGGTCAGCATCCCACTGCAAACCTAAAGCCTTCAGTTTTAGCAATTTAATTGACAATGCCTAAAATAATCCCCACATCCTTCAGCATCTCGAGTACATAAACTTAAACGGTCGCAAAACCCAGAAATTATTTTACAAAAAGGAACACTGTTCATTAAACAAAACAGAATACCTCAAATAAAAATCAGTGACTATAGCATTTGGATTCACTCGCATAAACCAATCCTCTCATGAAAGCTCTTATATAGAACTAATAATTCGTTTATAAATCACAGGTAATATAATTGCCTAACATAATGCATTCGCAAAAAAGTAACATCTCACATGAAAAATCAAAAACATAATAGCCTCATGAATATACTCACAAACACGAATACCTCACATATTAATCGTAACTGATATAACAACTTCTTCAGTATAGTATATTCCTCGCTTATTATGTGGTGCTGTATAAAATGCACTCAAAAAACCTGATACTCCACATCACGCGGTACTAACTTCGACCGTTAATTTGAATTTTTGACCTACCAGGTGCTTGAAAATCAAGGATTGCGAGTCTCATACTGCACCGTTTTTCTTCAAACTTATACCATTAAAAGCAAAACAAAATTGCCTTTCTGTCGTTGCATTACTTGATTGTAAAGAGTCCCTCGTTCACGCAGCGTTTTGGTTACCAGCTGTCGGAAGGCCTTCTTACAGCTGGGGACCAAAATGCCGCTGGAAGTAGGGTCTCTTATTAAGAGAATAATGTACCATCAGAAAGGGATTTTTGTTATGCTTTGAATGGAACAAGTTTGAAGAAAAACGGTGCAGAATGAGACTCATAATCCTTGATTTTCAAACATCCGGTAGGTCAAAAATTCAAATTAACGGTCGAAGTTAGGACCGCGTGCACATAAAAACTTGGATTAATCAAACGTTATAGGATGCGCCTCACATAAAAAAAACAATATAGCATCACAGAGTGCATTATTTGAAAGGAATAGCTTTTATAAAATTTCAAATATTATCACTACTACCCACCTAGTTACACAGACGTATCGTCAGTGTATCATGGCTGAACTACTTCCGGGATTTGAATTTGGTAAGATATTTTTATTTCTCGATTTACATCTACTTATAAGTCACGATGTGGATTATAATTTGGCTCGAAGTTATGGGAGATAATCTAGTTTGAGAATGTGTCGATGGATTTAGGTTTGGTATGTTAACGAAGACGCATTTCACATATTTAGTCCCTCGCTTTTGTTACACTGACGACCGGCATTAACATTGCCAATATTACACTGATATTGGTCGTTCGTCAGTGTAACAAAAGCGAGGGACTAAACACCTGAATTGTGCCTTTGTTAACATATAAAACCTAAAACCATCGACGCATTATCAAACAAGACTATCTTCCTTAACTTCGAGGCAAATTATTATCCACAACGTGACTTATAAGTAGGTGTAAATCGGGAAATAGATTTTTTTTACCGAAACCTAGTCCCGGAAGTAGTTCCGCCATGATACACTGACGATACGTCTGTGTAACTAGGTGGGTAGCAGTGATTATACAGAATATAGAATGAAGTTAAAAGAAACTTGTACTCCCCTAAAATAAAGTGTATGGATAGTACTCACAATTAGCAACGACCCAGGGACAATGACTACCACTCCACATAAAACATTAACAATGATATTGAACTTCTTCACTACTTCTTCAGCATTTAATTTACTCAGAAATGAGTAATACATGTTATTCAAGTATAAATTAAATTACCTCCTTCATATGTGACATATAATTTCACCCAGAAACTAGTTTTTCTAGCAATACCCGATATAAAGACAAAAGAGATATAGCCTGGGAGTAGCCATTTTGTCCGAAATTCTATCCAAAATGTCATGAATATGTACGCACGAGTGCCAAATGCGAAAGACCAAAAATGACAAAACATAGCAGGAAAATGAAATGTCTAAGATCTCATTGCCAAATGGAAAGAAAATCCAACTATCTCAAATCAATATACAACGTGAAAGGAAAATGTATCTTACAACACTCACAACAATTCGTAAAAGTGCAATTCGCATGACTTTGGCAACATAGAGTTTGTGCACAAATGAATAATGCCTGATTTGATAAAAAGTCACAAATTATAAAATGAAGTATGGCTTCCTAAAACTCGAATGGAAAGATCGGAAACGAGAGATGTTGGATTGCTGAAAAAATTGAGAGAACCGGTCTTACAAAAAATGATTCGATGTCGTCTTTAAATATCGGAGGCTCGTCTGAAAGATTGGATGTGTGCAACATTATAAATTTCTCCCAATCCAATCGGGACTTTGCACGCGATGGGTGAGTTGATATGATTGATAGGGTCACACCTTGGAACAACGATTTAACAACCTTTAATTTCGTATAATTCACAATCTCGCCCTGCTGAATGAAATCGTCTCTAACGGTGTCACTCATCAATCACGAAGGTTGGTTTCTGGTTCTTATTAATGACAGTATGGCTCTCACTTATAAATTTACATTTAGAATAGAACGAACATTTGTCAAGTTATGATCGAAACAAAAACTAAATCTTGTCTTCGCAAGGGACAGTTCAAAAACTAAATTACTATCTTGAATTTCACAAATCTTGCTCTACTGCATCAAATCGTCCTGAATATAGTCACTCGTCAACCACGAAAGTTGATTTCCGGTTTCTTAATAAATCATTCTAGCGTTCTCATTTATAAAACAATCGATAATTAAAACTGAAATATATTATAATGCATTCGATGTTTACTTTCTTACAACATTCCATGGTTATTTTATTGTTGGAGCACAGCATTGTGACACTATGATATTTGCGACGCATTTGACTGCGCCTTCTTTATTCCTCGATGCAAATCATCTAGTTTAAAAATGTAAACATTCCAATACCAAAATTAGATTAATTATTTAATTGATACATCCTTTATATTTTTATTTGATTGCGTTTTGAATATCATTAACAATAATCCGTTGTTTGACCCTTGAAAACGCAAGAATTATTTCCGTGAATAAATTGTTTCTATAAGTACAAAACTAATATGTTACTAATTATAGATTTTCTGAATATTTCGCATAATTTGGTCACATCTGCTCTGTCTTATTTTTTTCTAAATAATAAAACGTTGAAAAGTACCCTAGTGCAATACACTAATTGAAAAATGACATTTACGTTAAAATAGTATTATATTTCTATGTAATCCTAATCCTTCAAATTATATATAAGTTTCGATTTACAATTTGAGTCTCATAAAATGCACTAAAATGCTCATGAAAAGTTTCACGTTTTTTGACCTCTTGTGATGACAGACATAATGCGACCAGAAAGCCTTAATATTTTTTACCAAATGGCATTTTAAAAGCATAAGGACATATGCCCCTCCCTAAATATCGGTTCAAATGTCGTTATGCATATATGGTGCCACGGATTTGTAATATCTATGAGCCATACCATGGACTACAATGAAATTGTCTACATTTTACAATCACGCGACCTGAGCATGGGACTAGAACCAATCACGTCATTTGTTTATTACGAAGTTACCATGCTTACGATGAGATACCTGCACGCCGCAGTGATATATCACTGCACGGGAGTTCGGTTGTGTTTGTTAAGCAAGCAAAAATGATATTTGTGATGTTATACTTACTGTCATGGCAGTTGACATTGATGTGCCTGAAAAACAAAACAAAAGAACTAATAAATACATCTTAAAGACATAATCAGACATATGAGGGATGACAAAATTACAAGCAATTTGAATATGTGGTTTCTTGTATGGTGGATATGATATTCATATATCGCGAAAGATGTGTCCGATTCCAGCCGATTCGAACACAGTATTTCATATAATTGCACTGCACCAACAACCCACCCAAGATCATTCATTGAATGGTTGTCAACGTGACAACTTGACTCTACGGATTGAAATTGATGCTTTTGCTTTGCTTTATGTGGAAAATATTTTGCATTGTGAAGCACAAGGCCTGATGCACTAGGGCTAATTCATTCCACTCAGGCGTTATTTCCTTAACTTAACACACGATGCATCTCGGGCAAAGATTGAATTTTTTTTGAGGAATGATTCCGTCCACAATGCACAATGCACCAGGACTCAAATCCTTAACCAATATACCCAAATAGTTTCAGGGTCAGTTGCTCTTTAGATCTGATTCTACCTCTCAAGAATCCTCCTAGCTATATATATATATATCTTGACTCAGGATATGAGAGGCGCGTTGAAGTTAATGCTAATCAACCAAAAAGAAATGGAGACCAAGAACTAAGAATGTTGATTCGATATTATTCTTACCAGGCCAAGTGCAAGTTGTCCAACCATAATAATAACATGGGGCGGTAATAGACACAGCCTGTAAAACAAATATGGGGTATAAGCCATAAGGGCGTTTTCAATACTCGGAAGTAACTTCATAAACTAGACGAAAGCGCAGGGAATGATTTCACTACATACCTGCATTAATTAGATAATTAAACACATGTGCACTTATTCAAAATTGGATTGAGTATTTTTCGATTTAGTATGTATTCATATTTCTTTTTTTTGTCAACTTATCTACAGACCAATGTCAAAGTCATATATAGAATATCATTTAATTTTCTGGGGCTATCATTTTATCCACTCTTGGATATGTGTGCTCACTCATGGACAAAGTATTTGCCTCAGTTGTTAAAATTGTTTCCAGGCTTAATAAAACCAGAAACATAGAGCCTCGATACTACTTACCGGCGCCACTACATCAATGCAGCTTCCATAGCTTGAATATATATACAGCTGATCATCTATATTAGAACCCCCTACAGATATGCTGCAATGACGATTCGAAAAAAAAATTAATTAATCATTTTTGGATTCCCTTTCACATCAGAAGAAAAACCAGATAAAACTTCGAAATATAACTTTTGCGTACATATCGGTCAGATTGCCATGGAAGTATACTTTGTTAGAGTTGATCCACTTAAAGGGAAGATATAAAACCAAAAAGACATCGTGCGCATTCAAATAAGAAGTGAAGGAATCTAATGCCTTGCCAGATGATATTTGATTTATCTATTGCTAAAAAAATCAATGTGGCACATGTCAATAAAAAGCTATATTTACACTTCTGGAACCATGGCTGGAAAATTCAAGCAAGCATCATGTTGCCAATTTCCCCCAGCAACTGCAGTTGGTATGCCCTGTAAATGTACGCTGTCAATGCACACCTAGCCATCGGCAACGTACGGTGACATAATATACCGTCGTACACTTTAGATGTACGGTGTCACTATTCTAACTGATATGTTTTTGCTAAAATTAAAAAAAATCATAAGTGTACGTTGTTATCTCGATGTACGTTGTCCCATTGAACTTACATATCTGAATTTACATTTAATTTTTATGTAGACAATGTATTTTTCATAACACTAAGTGGCAGGGGATTAGATTCATTTAAAACTGAAACGGAACAATCCAGTATTACTAGTTCAACTTGACTGAACTATATTGAGCCTCTGCACTTTCCAGATATAGCATAAACGGGATTTCGAGTCATCTTCGATAAGCCAGTATAGATCTCTCTATGATCTTCTTAAGATTATTAAAATTCATAAAAGTGCAACATAACGTAACGTACCGACGCCGAATGGTCAAAGAGGTTGGAAGATAGCACCCCATGGTCAAATATTAATCACCGTATCAACACTTTCATAAAATAAAATAGCATTCATCAACAGGTAAAACATCACTTTTACCTGTTTATCTGTACCAGGGATACATGAACATGTTCGTTAAACATCACTTGTTACTCATTAAACCCTAATGCGTTTCGAAATTAAATCATTGCATTGTTTACTTTTCAATTATAGGGACAACGTACATTGGAGATGACAACGTACATTTTTGATTTTTTGAATTATACCAAAAACATGAATATTTATAAAACCGTCAACCGTCTTAGAGAAACATGTTCTCATAAAAATATTCGGCACTCTAAGACGACAGGGGAGAAAATAAAAAAACACATTTTCCAACCGACCAATTGCAAGGGCAGATTAACAACGAAAAAAAAAATCTGGCACTGCTCGAAAATCTTTTAAAATAATTAGAAAGGCAAATGTCTTCCAAATCGAATACACACGAAATCAAACATGAAATCCTTCAGGTACTCCTCAAATTAATTTTTGAAAATCACAATCAACATCATAGTTTTCGCTTCAAATCAATTAATAGTGACACCGTACACCTAAAGTGTACGACGGTATATCTTGTCACTGTACGTTGTCGATGGTTAGGCGTGCAATCGCTGGTATGTTAAACTAAACGTATTAAGGTATACCATGTAAATATACGTTGTCCGTGGCTGATACGCGAACTATACATATTGAGGTATACCATGTAAACATATGTTGTAAATTGAGAATACATTAAACTATACGTATTTAGGTATATCATGTAAATGTACGTTCTAAATGGCTGATATGTTAAACTATGCTTCTAGAGTTGTAAGTGTGGACAATATCTTTGAAATGGCTCCAAAGATAAAAGTTTAGGGATTCAAATCGGATGATTTTTCACCTTTGGAGCATGTTTTTGTAAAATGACCCTAAAAGCATGACCATTAAAACTCAGTGAAACTTAATAGAAGGAAAGAACATTGAACAAGGTTTGATTGTTTCAAATATGATTTAAAAGAGTAGTCAGAAAAATCAAGTGGAACACCGTAAATGTGGTTATTTACATAAACATTGCTAACGATGTTTATATCTCTGCATCAAATGTGTTCGAATCTCATGCGAATACAAAGATGATCTCTAAGTGGAGGCGTTATACTTACAGCTGTTATTAATCCTTGTACTGTGCTTTTCAGGTACGCTAGATATGTAGCATTGTCATTTTCATCCCAAACGCTTCCAATGGATATACTACAATATATTTGGAATTTTAACAAGGCACAGGGTGAACAATATCGTACCTAAAATATAGCAGTGTGGGCTTGTTGACCCAGAAAGCAAAATGGCCGCCGAAAAGTTAATCAGCTCTAGAACCTCTTACCATGTAACATGTGTAAAAATTAGAAGTAAATCCGTTAGGTGGTTTTCCTGGAATCGCGATGATAAGATTTATCAAAAAACTTCTAAAATGGCCGCCAGAATGCAAGATGGCCGTCGAAAAGTTAATCAGCTCTAGAACTTCTTACCATGTAACATGTGTAAAAATTTGAAGTAATTCTGTTCAGGGGTTTTCCTGGAAACGTGATGACAAGATTTATCTAAAAACTTCCAAAATGGCCACCAGAATGAAAGATGGCCGCCGAAAAGTTAATTAGCTCTAGAACTTCATACCATGCAACATGTGTAAAAATTTGAAAGTAAATCCTTTAAGTGGGAATCGCGATGAATAGAAAATTGAGACGCCGCCCGCGCACCCACTGGCCAAGCTGACGACAATATCGTACCTTTTTAAGTACGATAAAAAGCATAATCTGTGAGTAAATAATTTATCTAATTTGATATCATATAGCTTTGCATCTTGTTAAATCATACTGGTAATTGAATGAAGGGGGAGGGGTAGAGGGCGCTGAATCGAAGATCAACACATTTTTGTTTGTTTATCATTATAATTTTCAAACTGCGTGGATAATATGCCCAATATGGTGTCATCCACTTGAAAATGTATTGTTTTAATCTAACTATTGGAAATAAATAAAATGAATGAAATAAAATAAATAAAATAATTAATGATAATAGGTTTTTATCTCCGGAACTCACTCCACTACCAGAATATCTAAATAAGCACAAGTGCCAGAGGAAACTGAAATAAATCAACCGGATTCAACTTACTTTACAACACTCTTCCGGGCTGTTATTCCCACCTGGTTAATCACCCTGTTGATAGCTGCGACAAACAAACTGAGAAACAAATAATTATCAACGGCCTTAAGTCATGATTGAAACATTTTAAAAAGAATCATTAAAACAGATTTCATCCAGACATTTTTTTAGATATGTTAAACTATGAATATCTCATTTTAGCTATTTCGTCATTTCCAGAAAGTTAGTGTCCCTTAGATCATTGACTTACGCGTAAGAAGCGAATTCATCTTGATCAAATATTCGAATAGCATGTATTTTTGCTCCTGGCGAGACACCAAACTCTCCTCCAATGAGTCCTATAAATAATGATTGATGAAATATACAAAATGAATTCATAATAAATAAGGAATAAATATCAGATATTAAAGTTAGAATATCACATTTTTGTAAACTTGATGTTTTAGGTCAATGTTTGGAAGTTTGCTTTCAGTGCAGTGCGGCGTTCAACTAATTGGCATAATTTGTCACCCTTTGTGTATTGTCGTTAGTGTTTTGCGTAGTGTGCATGATCTTTGTATGGGCCCAGACGTAAACCGTGTAATATGGATATTAGGCTTTTTCAAATGTATAACCTGGTGTCATTACTTAGTTCTCACCCTGCATATTCAATGGTGTATATTTAACGTGTTGAAACGCAGTCATGAGTTAAAATATAAAGTACATGTATACCACCAAATCACCAACCTGCCATTGCAGTTCCATGTCCATTAAAGTACGTAATATCAGGAGCACTTGTTTCATCCGTAGACACATAATACTCCTGGAATTAAGATCGATATCATTTTGGCCTAAGGGGTCGTCGTATATAACAACGAAAACAGCAACTCCACGGAGAAGCAAATCCCACAGAACAAAACCGTCCATTTATTGTAACTCGCATTTGCTACCATTTGCTCATTTGCACATGTCCCCTTTGGAACTCTTCCTCTTTATTTTGATACCAAATAATGGCATACTGTGTACCCTAAGACCCAACTCTGGCGTTATTTAGAACAAGATAATAGGTTTTTAAATGGACTCTACCTTTTGGCGGATGGATATTGAACCTCACATCTTGAACAGAGCATATGAGCATATCAAATTTGAACAAAATCCATCCACTGGTATTTGAGTTAGAAAAAAGAATTTAGTCAATTTGAAGCAAGTTAAAAAATACCTTTTGACCTTTTTTGATAGTGTGAAGGTCAAATCTCAAATCTAAAGTCAGATTTGAATTGAAGTCAGTCTTACAACAGCATTCGTTAAGTTATTGGAAGTTTTAAAAATTTGTTACAGACGCCAACCGCCATCCTCCGACCGTCATCCAAAAAACCGAGGCCATAACAATATGTCACCACTTTTTGGTGGTGACATAATGACTAAATTGCCATTCTATAATAGTTTTATTTGTTTAACGTAATGTTTACATGACCAGAATCACCTTTTTCATGATGAAAATAACATTAGATATGCTGTTCAAAATGGGTATTCCTCCGAAATTGGGCAAAAATTGATAAAAATACAACAACAGAAACATCATTCTTGATTATTTTTAGCTAGATAAAATTTTGACGGTGTCGAAACTACGTCTAGTATATTATGAATGATTGATAGAACAAATTAAAATGATGGAAAGTCAAAAGAGAAATCATAGCATTTTGATAGTCTGAACTTGAGTTCTTACCGATGCAACCCCATACTTGTTAAAGGCTGAATGGTTATTATGTATTCCGCTAAAATATAAGAAAAAACATGTGCATATCATTTTGAGGTACGTGCAATCGTTATTCATTGCCATTTTACATGTATTTTTGTTGTTTTTTCATTATAATTTCTCTTTGTTTCATTCAGTTTGTTTTATCTCAAGAATATATTTGTAGTATCATAGGGATCTATTCAATTGCATCTTTTCAGCATTAGAGAAGATTTATATTTAATAAAATTAAATGTGCATTATGGTGATGGACATCTATTTGTGTTTATAAATATTTTGTAGAGGGTACGAGAGTGCATTGTGTCAAACTAATTAACTTAGCCAGATAGTGAGCGCCCGTCATTCAGTGTCGTTACACAGTTAACATCTTAGACGTTGTTGCCAATTTTGGTGTTAAAGGAAAATCTGTGTCACTCTGTAGTACCAGGTAATAGGGAAACAATGCTTTTCAACTCACGTGTCTAAGATGTATACGTCGACCGAATCGAATCCAAGACTTTGATCTACAACATAAATTCAAGTTTTGCTAGGTGTTTATCAGTCTCAAGTGTACCCAGACTTATTTTCTGTTTATATATTTTTAGAACGATGAAATCACTGTTTACGACGAATTTCAATTTTTTTTCATTACCATATTCATTATAAAATAGATTATTCAACGGTAACTCATCTTGGTCAACCCTGTCCATTGCCTGAAATGAATCATGATCAAATGAATTAAATGTATTAACAATATTTACAATACAATACAATACAATATATCGCAGGTAGGCTATTTTTCACATCAGATGTACGTTAAAAAGTAGAAGTATACTCGTCTTTTAAAACCTCACACAATTTCAAAATTTTAAAAGCGTCCATCTAAGAAAATTCGAATTGTGGCCATTGCGGAATTATCCTAAGACAAGTCCAGCTCTGTATCTCCCGTTCCAAGATTCTAGGGAAAACGTTGTTCGGTGTAGAAATAGTTCAGCAATTTCATTAGAATAATTCTTTTCAGCGAAACCAACTCACGCGTGCAACTACAGGACTGTAAAAAAGTTTAATATCTCAGTCAATTTTCCATATTTCGCCTTAAAATTTCAAAATTATTTAGTTCATCAATGTGAATTTTCTTGTGAAAGTTGTGAAATCTGCCAGTCAAAAACTAAAGTTCCTTTCAAAGCATGCCCCAAATGTGCACCTCTCCTCTCTATGCACAATTCAATCCGGCGAACAAAGTTGTTGATGGTCCTCCTTACACATTTCTTTCTGAATGGAGAAGTTTATTCTAAGAACAATTGCTACTGGAGCTTACATCCTCCTGAACAAGTGTTACTGCATCAATTGCATTCTGAACAATGCACTGCCTGGGTGGCAAAGAGCAAACATGGAACAATCGGTCCTATTTGGTTCGAAAATAACTGGAGACATGCTATCACCATGAACAAGGACCAGTGTATTGAAGTTGTCACTAAGTTCTGGAGGTCATTAAGCGCCATAAGGGGCATCTAAGGAGATTGGCAGTGGTTTCAACAAGCCAATACCACCTCTACACTGCAAATTATATGCTAAAATGGTTGAGGCAATGCCTTGGTGGTCAGCTCATCAGTAGCAGAACTCAAAACATATGGGAAGCTTATTTACCAGATCTAAATCGTTCAGATTTTTATCTTTGAAGATTTCTCAATGCACCCCGTATTCTCACTGATATGAAGTTCACGAAACATAGAGAGGCTTTAGCAAATAAACGGAAATATTTGAAGGAGAACGGGTTTGAAAATCAGTCAAATTCTTGTTATAGGATAAATTAACAAAGATAAGGATAAGTTTTGGAAATGGGGTCTATATCCCTCGGAAAATATGATATCTTACTTGGACCGTCCGGAACCTCAGTGATCGAGATATCAACATTGCCATCATGGTATATCCCATAATAAAAACCACCCAAAACACAGCTCTCATATATATCTAAGTATGGTAGATCACATTAAATATTTCGAGAAAAAATAGTATCACTGAAAAATACTTTAACATTATATAAAAAGCTTAACACCATTGGCAGTATTTTCAGATTATTCACAGGTCCGCGCAGTCAACTGGGTAAATCATATTTTGGCATCTACGTGTATGAAAAATAAAATAACACAAGGTCCTCTAGAATAAAAACATAGAAAGTGAAACAATTTCAGACAAAATACTCTAGTTCAATATAATCCTCAAAGTCATGAACAGTATGTAATAGTGTACTAACCCAACGATAAGTCACATCTTCCTGGTTGCAAGTCGGTTCACTTAATGGTTCTAATTCTCTATTTGGAAACACATCTATTACAGTCGGATCATTTTAAGAAGTCTAGATATCTGAAATTATTTGTCAGTGTTCGTATTATGCTCAGAGGAAAATGCAAAGATGTTTTGTGTTCTCCAAAATACGCTCATTGCATATCATGATACCTTGTATCTTTGATAAACTAAAACTTACGTTTTATCGGAACATTCGACTAAGTACATTCTGGTTGTCTTGGTGTCATCTATTTTTTGCTTCTGACAATATATTTCACGTTGTTTTGTGGGATCACAATTGTATTTCTCAGCCTCTGCTTGTAGAGCTCCATATCTATCAAATGCTACAAGAAAATAACAGTTTTGTCTGATGTTTTATACACATCATGCTGTTTTCTTCTTCGAGCGTGATGATAATTGATAATAAACTAAATGTGTTTCATTTTTGTATTTTTGTATAATGCAATATCGGTGTTAAGGCCAGCGTAAGCAAAATAATTAAAATAAAACCTTGTAAATCATTCAGCGATGCTTCCATGACAACGATATACTGACTGTCTATGTCCAAACTCCCTGAAACGGAAATATGTCTTACTAGAAGGCACAGTCTTGAAGAAGAAATCAAGGTTAAATTATCATTAGTATACCTATACAGACCACGTTGATTCCCTCGATAAACTTCTTTTATCATATGAAGTGAATGACTTATTAGTTTCCATTAAATGTGAAGCAATAGATTAAGGGGTGATGGACTAACCTTTCGTTTTTTTGACAGGAATAATTGACTGAAAGACATTGTATGCACATTAATTCGTTAAAATACCGACACGATTTTTTGACACGACGCTATGTGGTCAACTTTTAAATTCCATGAACTCTGCTATTCTTTTACATCCTGTGCCAAAAATCAAATTTTGCTTTGGAAACTCGGAACTGGGAAACTGCTCCGTCACAGCGGACAAAAGATTTAAACAATATTTTTATAAAAGAATTAAAAAGACCAATTACATCAATATTTCATTAATACATTCAGAGTCATGCCATTAACAAGTTAAATAAGAAATACCAGCCTGTTTTTTTATCTCTTAGATATTGTGCTTACAGGCATATGGTTGACGCAAGAAAGTTTATTTGCTGTTAGGTTGTTCTATTCCCGGGTTCTACTAGCTTCTGGAAGGTAAGTGACAGTATCAATCTTTAGCTAAGTCTTATTATTCACGATTATAGTACATGTAGTAGTCAGACTTTATAAATGTTGATTTACATGAGGTCTGAGCTAAAACACAGATGGAGCTACATTGAGAAATCTCGCAGCAAAAATCTGGCCTCATCCTTAAAAGGTCCCATGTGAAGTTTGGTATAAGTTTTATCACTCATTTACTATTTTTCATGACTTTAAAATTTATTTTGGAGATTTTTGAAAAATACAGAAAGTTGTAAAAATCATCAAGTATTCAAATTTGAAGTGCAAAAATTATTATATTTTCTAGCATATCAGAAAGATTTTGGAGCTATTTGCTGTTAGGTTGAATGGTCTACTCCCGGGGTTCTACTAACTCCTGGAAGGTAATTAAGTGACAGTATCACGCTAGCACTTGAACTCCCATTAGAATATCAGGTTACATCCATATACTATAACATATTAAAAAAAATAAGGATTTGTGAGTTTAATTAAGAAGCAACAGGTTAACTCTGTGTTGAGAAGACATCTTTCGTCGCTGATTGGTCAAGTCAAAAGACAAATTACGTCATTCAATGGCGGTTTTAAAATTTATGTATTTATCAATCACGTATAAGCACGTACCGTGGTCTTATGAAATGATCCTGTAAATGAAACAGGGCAGTTTGGATGAGTGCAAGGATTATATTGGCTGATGCACATGTATCCTTTGGATAATTCACTCTCCCGATGTTTACAGAATCATTGTACACGGATTATTTTATATTCAAGATGATTTCAATAAACTGGAATTTATAAAACTCCCCTAATTTCCAGTAGACTCGCCTGGAGCCGCCATATTGTTTTCATACGGGAAGCTTATCGTAACCGTTTAAGAAAAAAGTAATTCTGATTTTGCAGCTATACAGAATCAAATCTCAACAATTGATGAAGTTATGTATAAGTCTCTTGTTTAAAGAGAGAATCAGATCTAGCGAGCAGCACATTTGTAAACTGCACTAATAAGAATTTTGATTGATTTTAAACTTAATGGCTTGATAGTTTTTTAAAATTAAAGTCCCCATATGAAGTTTAAACCGCTTATAATGTCGTCTTACATAATGTTATCAAAGTATGATATATTAATTTCAAATAAAAAATTATGGTTTTTGAAGGACTTTTTGTTCGAAAAATCGTGATTTCTTTAAAACTAACCTTTAGAGGTCAAACTTCTTTTAAAAGGCGAAATTTTACACCAATGCATAACATTACTCTTCTTTATGTTTTTTACAAAAGACACTGTTTTTGCACTGTAACTTCAACTTTTACATGAAAATTGGCGGAATATGTGAATATTTGAGAAATGAAAAACTGACAACTTTTATCTTCAAAACTCTCTAATGACAAATAATAAGTGAATAATTCAAATATATTTTCAAACTCTACATCACGGTGTATAACCCAAACGCTCCTACATGCACGACGGAGCGTTTCATTACTGAAATTAAACAAAGAAACGCTCCGGAGTAGGAAAACTGGCTGGCGGGAATGATGAGCCGTCTGACGATTTCCCCAATAATGGGAATAAGAGGTATGAGTTCCATATTTCGAGTATACCATTCGATGGGTGTGATATTCATGTTGTACTTGGCTGGCTGTTGACGGTTGAAGCAATTGGGAAGAGCTGTACAAAGCAGTATAGTTATCAAAATTCAAAAACGTATTTGTCATTCTACCGGTCAAAACCCCTTTTGTCGATACATGTGATTAGTTGAGCCAAGATTAGAGCACCAACGTATATTTTAGTCAAATTCCAATGCTTCAACGCACCATACATTATCGTAATAGTGATTTGATGACCGAAAATCCAGTCTTAAAAATGATAACATTCTCATATTCAAGAAACGCTCCGATCTGGTTAACACAGTGAACTGGAAACGCTCCGGTAGTCTAGATCAGTTTAGGAAATATATAGCTTGTCTTTCCCTTTCAGGAAGCGAAAGAAAAGATCTATTATACCCCTTGGCATCAAAAGAAGAAAGATTAATTCACATATAAATTTTAGTTTTTTTCTATAGTTTTATGATTTAGCACACATGTACATGTAGGCATGACATCATCTAATGTAGGCTTAAATCAGCTAGTTGCACGTTTAGCACCACCAGGTTCAGATGTTTCAATTTGCCTAACAAGTACAACACGTTTTTGAGAGAAAGATTCGATTCGGAACTCTTCTCTAATAATCTGAAAATGATATCAAAACAAAATGGTAAGAGCGTTTCTAAAATTGTGCTCTAAATCGACGGAGCGTTTTGAGGAAAACAAGCGATTTCTCGAGAACAAGTAATGGATTTGGACTGGGATTTTAGGAAATGAGAATATACGAGTTTGTGATCTACTACTTTAACAGAATGATTAACGTTTTCATAGAAATACTAGTTTAATTCGTAATTTGTGGTCAAATCGTCATCTTCAGATTCGTTCGATCTACACTACGGAGCTTTGATCGAGCAAATAACAGTTTACCACCAGAAGTTGAATAAATAAGATCTTTCCTCACGGTATTGTTCATCGAATGGTACATAATATTTCACCATAACATATGATATGTAAGAGAAACGAGAGAAACAATACTTACGGTCATAGTGGAATCTTCATTGGCCGCCATTTTATTTCGCTCCGGAGCGTTTCCGCGTAAATGAAACGCTCCGTCGTGCATGTAGGAGCGTTTGGCTTATACACCATGTACATGGGTACTTTAACGGTATCAAATTAATTTAAACGTAATGGACACCATTAAACGTCAATCCAAGGTCGAAAAACTAATTGTGACGCATGTACTCATATATAGATATAGTGCAGTCAGTTAGCTGTTCAATTGCACATGCTATATATAAAGCACCATTATTTGACAGAAGTATCATTAATACATATATTTTTGATATCTAACGAAGTGGTGGTAAAAGTGGCCCCAGTTGATAAAAGCAGGCCTCGAAAATTTTGCATGTTAATTTATCAATCTTCAAAAGACCCCCTGCAGAACAGTTTAAAAGTGATAAAGCCCATATTCGTAGTTTCAGAGTAATAATTCCTAGTAATATTCCTAGTATCTTACAATAACATGATTATCTTCAAAATAAGAAGGGTTGTTTTTTTCTTTTGCCTAGTAATATATTTGGAAAATCTCCATTGGCTGCCATTATGAACACTGCATCAAATGTGGAATTTCTAGTAATTTCTAGACGTACTTAGTCGGTCTAGGAACTCCGTGTATCTAGAGATTTCTAGGCGTACTTAGACGTGCTTAGAGCTGGCGTGGACAGAGCGTGACTAGAGTCTAGAAATCTCCAAGCACGCCGTGGTTAGACGCAAGACAAAATTAGTCGTTATTAAATGTGAGATGTGAGATTTTGCGCTATATATGGAAACATTTAAATTATAATTTACCGCACGTGTTAATATTTCATGTTTTGCTTTAGCTAAATACGGGATATCAAATCAAAAAGAGTATGTTTTCACTTTATATCCGACTTGAGTCACGAAAAGTACATCGCAACATGGCTTCTTAATTGTTAAATTGTTATAAATTAAGAGGGTCTGTTTAAATGGGTATTTCCACTAATCAACACCCAGTATTTCGCATTGACAAGTACCAGGGCCGAATCCAGCATTTGCTAAGGGGATGACTTTTGAATTATTCCAGGGGTGAGGTCACATTTGATATTTGCTCAAAAATTACACGAAAACTGCTCAAAATGGTGAAAGAATTATTGGCCAGGGGATACAGTATTATTTTAAACTAGACATCTCTGTCGGCGAGGGGGGGCTAACTTATTCCAGGGGTGGGGTCACATTTGATATTTGTTCAAAATCACACGAAAACTGCTCAAAATGGTGAAAGAATAATTGGCCGGTGGATGCAGTATTATTTTAAACAATACATTACTGTCGGCGAAGGGGAGGGGGGGCTAACATATAGTTGAAATTACAGAATACGCTACCTTAATTTTTGATAATCTATAAAAATAATCTTGTCTTAAACAACTACTGATTTATATATGTGAACGGATATTTGTAAATTTGGTTTAAAAAGAAACTGAATATAGGGTAAAAATGAGGGAGACACAGACGTCGGAAGAGTGGGGATAAAATCTAAACAACACTAAGCTGAGACAGAATGAGAATCATATGTCTGGACTCGCAAGATTTTCATAAACATATTTGTTGATTGCTCGCGAAAACAAAAACAAATTTCAGGGTTTATTGGCATCACACAATATATGCAAAATGGGGGAGTGCATTTTCCCAGGATTTAAAACAATGCTTTACTTTAAATGTCGCCCCTCATACTAGCATACGCTTTAACTATCAGATTCAGGAGCACCCTGCCCTTGATATGTTAAAACATAGTTTTCCTGT